TGTGAGTTGGATTGACTAAAGGAGCCTAGAAGATTTGGACTTGGCGAGTGATTTATGTTTAATATCACATAAAATTCCAGCGTCGGTGGCATAGCGGTTAGGACGCTCGCCGACCATGCACATGGTCCGGGGTTCGATCCCCGGCCACAGACGCACTCCTTTACCTCGTTAAGGCAGAAATTATATATATATGTCTGATTTCCTACAAACTGGAAGATATGCAAGCGAAAAGCAACAAGTTGGCAGAAGAAGCATCCAGAGAAGATAAGACTTACTTCAGGTGAACATAGAGAAAACAGAGGTGATGAAGATTCCTGGACAAGAACAACAACAACAGACAACAATCAGCCAGCATAAATGGAAGGAACCTGAAAGAAACAATCTCCTTCACCTAACTACCTACCTGGGAAGCATCGTTTCAACTACAGGTGGACGGGATTGATCGGGATATCAAAGCAAGAATCGATCGGAAAAGCAAGACAAGCTTTCACTACTCTCAAGTCTGTGTGGAGGTCAACAGTCAGCACTCAGCATCAAAACGAAGATAACATCCGGATTTTCAACTCCAATGTGAAGTCAGTCAGTGCCACTTACTATACGGATGGATCAGAGACTTGCACTGAGCGTCATAAAGAGCATGCATCTCAAACAAACTACAGACCTTCATTAACAGCTAGCTGTCTTCGCTCAATACTACTCAAGATCAGATGGCCGGCCGGCCAGAAAAGATCAGCAACAGAGAGGGAGGGATCTCTGGCAATGAGCGAACCAACCAACACAGCAGGAACCAACCGATTGTGAAAGAAATAGGCAGGAAGAAATGGAGGTAGGTGGATTGGCTGGCCATACTCTGAGGAAACAAACCATCAAGTGGCATAACTAGCAAAACCATCGCTCGAGTGGAACCCGAAAGGGAAGCGGCGGCGAGTTGGTCGTCAGTGCAAGGGTGAGGGTGACTTGTAGGAGGTCATGTGAAGAGGAGATGAAAACGTGTGTGGGGGCAGACTTGGAGCCAGGTGAAGACTGTAGCAGAGAACCGAAGGCAATGGAGACGCACGGGTGAAGCCCTATGTTCCTCTAGGAAATAATGGAAACAATAATAATATTATATATATATTTATATATATATCCATATTTGACGTATGCGTCACGGTAGTTTGTTAAGCAGGCAGGAATAATATTACCTGGCTTGGAAGAGCTAGATGTGGTCAAATCAAAACCTGCCACTAGTCCCCAAAATCTTTGACTTTTTGTTTGAACGAATATTTTGATGGAGTGTTATTGACTCGACTGGAATCCGCCTCCAGAACCCGACATCAACTCTCCTATACTGAGAAAGACATAAAAGTCAAACTGATAAAAATGACGACCGGAATGATAATAACCATAACTACAGGACTTTATCAGACTATAAATATGCGGTATCTTATATTTAAAAAATCTCAGAAATTTAAGCCATCAATAAAATAAATCTGATTGGTTGTCATAAGGTTATCATGTCAGTACACGCAGGCATAAATCATGACTTCACGGCTGACAAAGAATCTTGTCCGTCCTAAGAGTCAGCCAGACAGGTAGATACATACATTATCGCCTGCATTCAGTTGATGAGTCCCAAATAGGACGAAATGCGCGTTGCCCTGGATTACTCCGCTGTTAGTCATCATCCACCAATTAAATTCTAATGAAATACCCAGACATCATCGAAGCACATCTGCACAAGAAGCCAACAGACATGTCAACCTGAGACCGAGCACTTCGGGTCAAATCAATCGATGGGAAAATCTAAAATTCAATTAAATTTCTTAAGAAAGTTAAGCCTTTTTATTGGGCGTGAAATTGTTCTCAATATCTTCTTCATCGTATTTGACAACTTAAACTGCTGTAACACTTTAGTAGTTAGTGTAAAGTTTTCTATGTTGAAATTTCAGTCAATCAGTCATCTTGCGTAATGCACTATCAACTTGTGTCTCTTTATTTTTTGCTTTATTTAACTTTAATTTCATTTTTAAAATGTATATTTTCATGAATCAAAGGTTATTTCATAAGGAGTAATGTTATATTAAAAAAATAATAATAATAATAAAAGCTGTATGGTATGCCTAAAGCATCAATCAATATTTAACAATCAAATATACTAAAAGACATTCTTATTCAGGTAACAAAAATGCAACAGATCTTACCCTGTATGAGTGTGTGTGTGTGCGTTATTGCCATCAGTAAAACACTGATACCTTGGTCAGAAGGTGACTTTTCGGGTAGAGCGTTCTACTTCGTTGCTAAACGCGGAAACTGATGTGCGTCAAGGCACACTGGTTGTACTCTCTCCATTCTTTTTTTCTTTCTCTTGCAAAGCTAACTTCATTAATTATCCCGAGGATTTAACCATTTCTGTCCCAGTAGGTTTCTACACGGGATTGCTGGATAACTACTCAACCGCTTCTCTTACAATTTATTAATTCTCATGTATTTTACCCGTTCTTCTTTATTATTCGCCCTTCCTTCCTTCCCTAGACATATAACATAGAACGCCAAAAGGCTGTAAGGTAGGGTTAGTGGTCTGCCGATTGGCACTTCAATTCTTGTAAGCAGGTTGGCTAAAGTTATCCTGTCTGATATCCGGACATCCTCATTGTAATTCGCAACTTTTTCCTTGTATCTCTTCCGGGGGGTGAAACCAGAAGAAAATTCATAAAAATTTACACTCTTACAGCCACTAAATATAAAAATTCTACCATACTACCATATTTAGCACGGGTTTCGTGTGAAGAGGGAGTCAGATATCCGAAAAGAACGTCTAAACTTTTTAAATCAGTAACTGAGCTGTAAAGTACAAGCAAAGATCATTATTACATGCATTATCTATAACATTCATTTATATTATTTATTGTTCCCTTGGGTTCCTAGTGGAACATAGGGCTTCAACTGCACGTCTCCACTTGCTTCTGTCTTCTGCTGTACTTTTCACCTGCATCCATGTTAGTCCATACTGTTTCAACTCCTCTCCACACGATTTCCTCCATGTCACCCTCGGACGTCCCGCTCGCCGCTTCCCTTCGGAGTTCCACTCGAGCTATGGCCTGACTGACGCGCGATGTCACCTACCCAGCGGCCTCCTCAGCGAGTGTCCAATCCATCTCCACTTCTTTCTCCTGCATATTTGTTGGGCGATTGGTTCTTGTTTGTTTTGTTTCTTCCCATAGTTTCTTGTTGGTTCTTGTTCTTTCCGGCGGCCATCTGATCTTCAGTAGTATAGAGCCAGCGAAGACAGTTGTTGTTGATAAAGGTGTGCAACAGGCTGTTGGAAATATTCTTTGTGACACACTGGCCAAGTTTCTGATCCATACGTATAGAAGAACTGACTGACTTGACGTTTGTATTGAAAATCCGAATTTTGTTGTTGTTAACATTATTTACTTATAATTCATTATGCCCTCCCCCACCATCATTCATTTTTTTATGGCTTTATTATTATTATTTTAAATTTTACTGATATGCATAGTTATAAAAGGAGCTAAATTGTTGTAATATGTATAAAAATGCTGCAAATTCCGTTCTGTATAATAATAATAACTGTTTGGAATAAAGTGATTATGATCGTTATCATATAAGGAGGGGGAATCAGTCGACCAGACTGTGAAATCACATCGACTGAGATGGTTAGAAGATGTGTTACGTATGCCTAGTCATCGCCTTCCTCAACAATGGGCAATGTTAGCTGACATAGGATGGTTCAGGCTGGAAAAGAGCTAGCGGCGGTCAAACCAAAACATGGCCTCACCAGTCAATGAAATCTACAACAGTTAGTCTACGCCACGTAGGAAGGTGTGGACTCCTGACTGGTTGGGGTCCTCGGGATGGTAAAAACCAATGAAAGCTGGAAACAATTGGTTAAATGGCTCAAAATCGTTCTCAATGGCTGGCTGGCGTAGATGCATCCACTCCTTGTGACTGACTGACTTATGATTTCCAATGAAACTGTTTTGTTCTTCGTTATTACCATTCCTTTGTCTCACACCTCTGTTTACTGTCTCTCTCTAATATGCATTTCTCCTACTTTCTTCTTTTCTGGCTTTGTGTGGTACATGGAGTGGAGTGTGTCGACTTGAACTGTCGCACATATGTGCAAAGTTCTATGTCGAAAGTAGACAGACAGACAGACATTATCTAATAGGGATTTTTTTTGCTTCAGTAGCTTTGATAGTAGTCCATACTCGCCACTCATACACATACACATGGTTTGGATGTGATACCTGGTTGAGGATGACGCATTCTCCTCAAACTCACTCACTAGGTAAGTAAGTTGTAAGCCGCCTGGTGAAGATGGATATTTCAGTATGAGTGTGGAGTGAGACGATACCAACCCCCACTCCCTATCCCGTTAAAACAATAAGACAATATGATTGTCTTGATATAATCTGTTGAACAGTGATCAATCACGCTCAAAAATGCTATCATCAAATAAAGTTATTCAAGTGACATCAGTAGACAAGCCATCGCTCGAGTGGAACCCGAAAGGGAAGCGGCGGCGAGTTGGTCGTCAGTACAAGGGTGGGGTGACTTGGAGGAGGTCATGTGAAGAGGAGATGAAAGCGTGTGGAAGGGGGGAGACTTGGAGCCAGGTGAAGACTGTAGCAGAGAACCGAATGCAATGGAGACGCACGGCTGAAGCCCTATGTTCCTCTAGGAATTAAATGAGACAATCATAGTAATAATAATAACAATAATGGGAATGTTTATTCCATCATGATAACGCCCAAGTTCTATTTTTTTATCAGGGAGACTAGAAATCATCTTGTATTGTTGTTACTGTCATCCTTTCCATGACCCCTGATATTTGACCTTTTGATTATGTAACATTGCTTCACCTTTTAGTAGTAATAGGATGACTGATTCCCTTCAGTAGAAATTCTCACTTGAAGTAAATAATTCACAGTTAACAATTCTGTATTCAATATATATATATATTCACTTTTTTATCTCCTTGCCTGTTATTCTAGATGGCTTCAAAATTTCCAATCTGAACTAAATCGTCTTGATGCAATTATTCAACATTGTCTTCGTCGTATGTGTCGGGTGACAACAACAGGAACATTAATTTCTCAACTTGGTGAAGCTGGTTCAACCTATGCTCGGTGAGTAGTAGTAGATAAGCGTTTCTTTAAAGAGAGGCTAATGGCCTGTCTATATGTAAATATGTTATCTGTCTTTGCTCAGGTAAGCTTCGTGTGTTTTTTGGAAGTGTGTGGGCGGTTGTTACTTCCCGGCTGCCCACACCGTGGAAGTTGGTTGCGTGACCGCAGAGCCCAGGGGACAACTGCTTGAGGCCGGTTACAAGCGACTTGTTTTTGTTTGTTCTTTCTTGTTTGCTGTGTCTCAGTAGCATATTTATCAATTCTGCCTTGTGACGCAGCAGCAGGAAGCGCGGTGGTTGTTAATCCGGGCCCCAACCTATCCGGCATGACATTTTGTGAGTTTGTTTGAGTCATAGTATTGGATTGGGTAGCTGCTTTTTTTGTCTAACCGCTATCCAAACAACCTTCCTGGCATGGTAGGACCTACAGGAACATAAGTTCCAATCAGTGTAGCTCGTTGGGTCATTGCGGTGTTCAAGTCCGACCACCACGTCAAGGTAGCAGCTATCGGTCGGGAAATATGTTATCTACTATTGTATGTATGAAGATTATATAATGGATTTCAGGGGTTACCGCGGCATTATACTATCAGTTATAGTGTCAGTTGTACACAGATACACACCGAGGCTTTTTGTATATTAAAGCATTATTCTATTCAATATTTGGACAGCTATCTAGAGCGAAACAGCTGTCCAGTCCTGGCTGATGGTTTTCAATGATGGTAACTATCAGTGGAATCCAGGATGCACATTTCGTCCTATTTGGGACTCGTCCGCCAGCTGGATGTACCTGAATTGCCCAGTGAGTGATGATGTCTCCACCGAGACCGGAACCCACTGCCCATATTTTTAAAATGCCAAAGCGTTATCCACAAGACCACTTGGGCCACGAGAGCCACTGTCTCTTGTGCAACGGGTCATATTAATTATTTCATTGAATTTTAGATTTTCCCATCGATGAATGATTGAACCGAAGTCCTTGGTCTCAGATTGACATGTGTGTTGGCTTCTTGAGCAGATGCTTGCACAATGTCTGAACATGTAATTAGAAGTTAATTGGTGGCGTTTGAAACTATGGTCACTGAGTTCGAGCCTCAGTGGGAACATCATCGCTCACTGCGGAATGCAGGTACATCCAGCTGACGGACGAGTCCCAAATTGGAAGAAATGCGCGTTGTCCTGGATTCCACTGCTAGTCACCATCCACAGATTAACTTCTGATTACTTGCCCAGATATCGTCGATGCATCTGAACAAGAAGTCGAAATGTCAACCTGAGACCAAGCACTTCGGTCCAATCAATCGAGTGGAAACTCTAAAATTGAATTAAATAGTTCTCCAACAGATTTGCTGGTTTTTTTTTTAACAAAATCTTCATTCAGACCAAGTTGTCGTTTGTCAAAAGTATTCACTTCCAAGAGTGAAATGAACATTATATTATTATTATGATGATTGCGTAATCACTACATATCATTTATATAAGTTGCAGAAGTAGTAATTTAACTTGTTGTTATAAGAATAAAACTTGTGCACTTTGGTAGAGTGTAATTCCATTATGGGTAAATTTTATTTTGATAAAGTTTCACAGTGTTATACAGTAATGTTTACTGATGACAACGTTTCGAGCACAATTTATTGCTCATAATCATATCAAGTTTCCTCTTCACCAGATTTTAGTTCTGGCTTAGCGAGGTAAAGGAGTGCGTCTGTGGCCAGGGATCGAACCCCGGACCATGTGCATGGTCGGCGAGCGTCCTAACCGCTATGCCACCGATGTCAATCAGTTAGTCAGTTATTATTATTATTATTAACTGCTTCTCTGAAAAACAATTGTTTAAGTTATGTTATGTTTGAATTCCTTTTTCGCTGGATTTTTCCCTCTCTCTTTCTCACCTGTTTGTGAAAGTGATTTCATGTTTGAAATATACCTTTGATTTCTCTCTTTCCTTCTCTTCTCTTCTCTACTCTTCTCACTGAATGATTTATTTATTTATTCACATGATGTGTATGTAAGCGTGTGTGTGTGTGTGTGTGTGTGAAGGAGAGAGAGAGAGAAAGGGATTACACCCCTAGGAAGAATAGTTAGTGTTGTTGTTGTTGTTGCCGATCACATGAAATTGCGTCATTATTTCCTTATACAATTACATGATCAATTAATTGAAAGATTATTTGTCTTTTGAGCAGACAATATATGTGTGACATACATACACACATACACACACACTCACATATACACAAGTCAGCCCATAATCATTCGTTATGCAACGTGAGCAACGTAATCTATTTGTTAGCAGGCAATCTTATACATATAATAATAACAATAACAATAATAATAATAAATTTGAACAAAGAAAGAAGAAACATTGGCGCGGAATAATCTGGATCCATTTTATGTCGTTGTTTCTCATCAGTTGCGTACAACCTTTGTCCCTCAGCATGCATATTGTTAGAGCGTCATAGTGAAATAAGGCGTTGCGATTTACAAGGTGTCTAAAGTGTTACGATATATATACATATATATATATCTTGTTAGAGAGGTCTCTTGAAAAAAAATTAATTATCAGTTGCGTTGTTGGGGTGGTAAGAAAAGAAAATTAGTAATAGTTATGTAATTAGATTAGAGGAGATCAAAATTTCGGTGCACATGAGGTCAGATGAGAAGGTGATGATGTAATACAGTGAGCAGACCTCAGAAGATCAAGAAAAATTATCTCTTAAGAGAGTGAAGCGAAAAATAAGGGGGGTGGAGTGAAAAGATAAGTTAACAAGAATCATTAGTTCACTGTCTAGTTTGTTTGATGAACATATTCTCTTCGCTCTAGAGAAAAGCGTTTTCACCAGCGTTCGTTTGTATCACACTGGGTAGAAGCTGTTGAAATTCAAGTAAAGACCACTCCATGGGTCTTTACGATATACAGATCTTTCGAGTGTCCTGTCGTATTTTATCTCCAACTTTACGTTCAAAAAATGGAATTTTTCATCATCTTCATGCTCCTGAGATACAAACGAACGCTGGTGAAAACGCTTTTCTCTAGAGTGAAGAGAATATGTTCACCAAACAAACTAGACAGTGAACTAATGCTTCTTGAAAAATGCTTGAGAGAATGGTTACCCGCAAGGTTTCATTAACAAATATGGCAAGAATGAACTCAAGAAGCTTGATACAGCTACAGTCAGTAAGAAGCCTATTTTCATCAAACTCGACTACAAGGGCGACGACATTATGAGAATGGCATATAAAAGATTAAGCGCAGCCCTGTCTATCACGTATCCTGCAGCGTTATTAGTCTCTCTACACCGAACAACCTCCTCACTGGTGCAGTCAAAGATTGACAAGTACCCCTCACATGTTACCTCCAATTGTGTATACCAATTCACATGTATCTGCAGGAGCCTACGTCAGATTCTGCGAACATGTACCAAAGAGCCTCCGGTTAAAGGGACCGAATTGTTTAAGCTCTTCAATCGCCAAACACCTGACTGACACGGGACACCGAGTAGATATGCTGGAATCATTCAAAATAGTTAACAGGCAAAGTACCTCAAGTCTTCTCAGGTATGCTGAAGCTATAGCAATAAAACGATTGAAGCCTGACTTATATATCCAAAAAGAATCTGTTGTTGGACTTCAATTACCCTGGTGACTCACATCTTAGTAACTTGGTTTCTAATTTTATTAACTTATCTTTTCACTTCACCCCCTTTATTTCTCGCTTGATTCTCTTAAGAGATAATTTTTCTTGATCTTCTGAGTTCTGCTCACTGTATTACATCATCACCTTCTCATCTGACCTCATGTGCACCGACGAAATTTTGATCTTCTCTTATCTAATTACATAACTATTACTAATTGTCTTTTCTTACCACCCCAACAACACAACTGCTAATTAAATTTTTTCTTTCAGGAAACCTCTCTCTAACAAGATATATATATGCATATATGTCGTAACACTTTAGACACCTTGTAAATCGCAACGCCTTATTTCACTATGACGCTCTAACAATATGCGATGTCAATCACTCAATATATGCATACAGCAAATATATATAATATTAAAAACTATTCCGAACAATGGTGATCATACCCAATGGAAACTTTTGGCATTACGTATGCAGATGAAAGAGAGATAAAAATATCCAGTTACCAGGGACAAGAAAGACTGATAACTTTTTTTCTGATCGCACAAATCAGGTTTCAGGCACTTGATGGAGATGGCTTCAGCAAACTTGAGGAGAATTGAGCTCCATTTCGCCTATTGATAATTTTGAACGATTTTGCGACGTCCACCTCGTGACCCGTGGTGTCAAGAAGATTCCTGGCTATTGCACTGTTTAAAGCATTTTTTCCCTTTAGACATAAGCTTTTTAGTACATGTTCAGAAAATCGTAGATATGCCCTTCTACTTTCTGTCCTTCCAATGTAACTGCTAGCGTTCTCTTCTCTATTAATTTTACAGGTGTTTGGCTGAAATTGTTCGTCGTACAGAATTTGAAGATATGCTTACTCAACGATCGGTATATTATCTTAAAGAGGAGAATCATTTACGCGCTGAAGAATGTCGTCGACGACGAATTTTCTCAAAACATTTGAGTATGTCTTATTGAATGTTATTTTGATTCACTCGTTGTTGGAAAAAAATGAAATTCTTTTGTATGATTCAAAATACGATCACGAATTCGTGACACCAGTGTCAGTGGACCAGTGGATATCTGTTTCACCCTTTTTTCTTTTTTAGGGCTCTTTATAGTAGTACTTTCCTATGATCCAGGACGAGACAGTCGTGAAGATACTCTCTAATATAGATAGGGTGGTGGTTCTCTAACACTAGTGTAAGTTTGTGTTCTCTAAGTTGAGACTTATAGAATCCAAACAAATAAACACACGAAATCTTTTTATGATATCTATCATAACTGACTCGAACTCCTGTCCCACATACTGAGTAGTACTATTACTAGAGTTTGACTGAAGAAATTTAGCTCATACTTGACCAGTGGTTCTGCAACGTTAATCGATTATATATTCGATCGAAGTCCTTAGTCTCTGCGTTGACACATCGGCTCATTCGGGAACGGCACATACACGCTGAGTTGCAGATACATCCAGCTAATGTGTCACAAATGAAGTGAAAGGTGAGTGCTGGATACTATTATTGGCAGTTATCACCATTTTAATGCAGTCAATCATCTATAGTTTTGCCTTTTAGGATGAATTTTATTTGTAATTATGACAGTGTATGTGTGTGTGTGTCTGTATGGACAGTTGAGTCTTACACACTGTACTGTACGTTTTCGTAATTGATTTTGTCTTGCAAATATTCTGGAGTTCTTCAGAGATGTAGTGGTGGTCAGTGGGGGGGGTCCAACAAGTCGAGTGTGAGAAGAGGTATTCACTGATGATATTGGCTGGTCGTAGCACCATATATCGCAAATCGCCAAAAGGTAGAATTCATCGGACTACCCCTCCTAGTGGTTGAACAGTTAGTGGGCTTGTCTCTTAACCTGAAGGTTTTAAGTTGTCTCCGTAGTGTATGGGGTCATCGGTGCGTAGTGGTGAAGACGCCCCACACTAGGAGGATGCAGAAGTCCAATACTCCCTGCTAGTTTTCAATTTGAAAGCAATCTAGAATATCTGTAAAGCAGATTGGAATAACTGATTGATTTCAAACCATTGACCACTGGATTGACTAGTCAAGTGTTTGAACTACCTACGAGACGCAACTCTTCCTTTCATTCTACTGTCATTACATCTAACATCATCGTGCTAGCTACCTGACTCGGTGTTTCTTCTCTTGTCACAAATTTATATATACTGAATTAGAATAAGGGAGGCAAGTTTTTGTTGTGACATTGTGTTTTTTTTCTTTATCTGCGTAATTTGATTGTGCAGGTTTCGCTATCCATCTGAACAGCATTTTCAGTGGTTATTTCACATTAATGATCTCTTTGTCTAGATGGACGATAAATGCTTCTTATTTAATAAAATCATCCAGCTCATACATAATACGGAGTACAATACAACACACCAAAAGCATTCTCGACCGATAGCTCCCACTTTGATATGGTCATTATTGGGCTTGCGTATCAGTCATGCTGTGCTAGGTAGCTCATGTTGATAGTGATTAGTCGTTTTCACTATGTTTGAGGTTTGTGGGCGAAGTCGTGTACTGCTGGCGAATGCTGGTGCAACCGCAATAAGGCGTTTCCTTTACATGACCAGCATGGTTGACTTAGCCATGCTACCTCCCCTCTCTCTGGGGAGGGACGCGAAGTTATCTACGCCGATAATTGTACGTCCTGACTTACCTAGTGGCGGTCCGTAGCTGGCGGTAAGATCTTCGTATAGATGAAGAAAGCCCAAAAACTAATCCAAAGAAGCCATGTGTGTGACTGGCTTCAAGCTGATGTTCCCTGAGCTCTGCGGTCACACAACTGTCTGTCTGTTTTCGACCTAGAACTTTGCACATATGTGCGCCAGTTTAAGTCGCCATACTCCCTCCATGTAGCAAACAAAGCAAGAGAAGAAAGTAGGAGAAATGCATATTAGAGACAGTAAACAGAGGTGTGAGACAAAACAGTTTCATTAGAAATCATAAGTCAGTCACAAGGAGTGGATACATCTGCGCCACTGGGAACGATTTTGAGCCATGTCACCAATTGTTTCCAACCTTCATTAGTTTCTACCGTCCCGAGGACCCCAACCAGTCAGGAAGCCAGTCTACACCTTCCTACGTGGCTGGCTTAAACTAACTCTTGTGGATTTCATTGACTGGTGCCATGTTTTCGTTTGACTGCCGCTAACTCTTTTCCAGCCTGACTCTATATCAGCTAACATTGACCATTGTCAAGCAAGGCGATGACTAGGGATGCATGCGTAACACATGTCCTAACCATTTCAGTCGATGTAATTTCACAGCCTCGTCGATTGATTTCTCCTCCTTTCCTAGAACTCTACGCCTAACCTCAATATTGCTCACCTTATTATACCACTTCACACACACGGGAGATAGAACGCAGACACCTATAATCAAAGACAGCTAGTTGGCATTTTCATGTCTTCCACTCTCACAGTTAGCCATAAAGGAGGATGGAGCGGACTGTTGAGCAGTACACACGCCCTTTGGTCGACAACCAGCCGGATATCACGTCTACTAAGCCAGAGACGGCACAAACTGGCATATGCGAAACTAGCCCTCTGTTTTCGTGCTGAGATTTCGTCAGAGATCAACCCGTTGGCAATGGCTGGTGGTACTTCCCAAGTAAGTGAGGCGGTCAACGTGCTCTACCACTTCACTTCCTATTTCTAATCTAGGAGTCGGTGTAGTCCAATCCTGCAACATCATATTACATTTTACAGGGGTGAATCGCATGCCAAACATTCGTAGATTGCAGCAGCTCAAGGTGTTCAGAAGACTCTGCTGGATTTTGTCAGTGTCCTCGTCTGGAAGGATGACTATATCGTCTGCATATTCTAAGTCGACGAGATTATTCCCTGATAGTAGCAAGTCATTCCCTGAGTCTCTGAAGTGAGTTAGGGTTAAATCCATTAGTACATCTATGATGAAGTTGAATAGAAATGGGGATAATGGGTATCATTGACGGACACCACTAGTCGTCACACAACACCTATGCACATGCTGTTTCAGGTACTCGAAGATGCAATTAACAATCATGATGTGATAGGTTGCTGGGCAATAATCACCCCCACCCCCCGCCCCATATCCACTTGAGCTACAAGGCTTCAGTAATGTATTTCAAAATCTTACTTGTTGAATACACTCTCCTATTTAATAATGGAAAGTAGGAGCAGTTTTAACGTTTTTTTAATGTTTTGACCAACCTGGATTTAGTAATTTTGAAGAGTAGTGTAGTAGTATTTCATTGTGCTTCTCTTTTTCTTATCTTACCCTTCAGAAAATAATTTCCTGCATACACTGTTCTCTCCATGGACTAATCCGAAAACTGATTGTCTTGGGGTAGGTTGACAGAATTTTTTCTGTTTGTTTTAAAAAATTTTATTTATCTGTTGTTATTCATTCATTGGCGTCTTTTGTTTGTCATTCTCCTCATCGACACATTGATTGATTTATATAACGATTATGAAAGGGTGAGAGAGAGTGTGTGCGTGTGTGTATGTGGAAATTGCTGTGAACAATATCATTCGCATACTCCGAGTCTCCCCAGATAATATTGTCCTCCTCTAAGTGAGAACATTGACAAACTATGATGAAGGCTTCTGTGTACACCTTGCTCAGAAAGAACTTAGTATGTTTGACATGTGAATCTCCTCTGTCAGTGGTGTAAGGATGAGAGCACTGCACGAGTGGTGTACACCAACTCTCCGCGTTGATGACTTTTCTTATGTATGGAATTTCTATCAGCCCTAATGAACTGATCGATGAGGGGTACCTCAGCATGGATTATTATTATTATTATTGTTTCCTTTAATTCCTAGGGCTTCAGCCGTGCGTCTCCATTGCGTTCGTTTCTCTGCTAGAGTCTTCACCTGGCTCCAAGTCTGCCTATGTGACTGGTGATTGCCAACAAGCACGTAACTTAGGAAGATTGCCTTCAACTATCTCATATACACACATAATTTACTGATGACTTTCTTACTAAATAGGTTTGATCACAGATTGAAGTCAGTTAGAAACCATTGGAAACCAGCATGAAGTATGTTGGGCAGCTTTTCCGTCCTCCTTTGATCTCTTCGACAGCAGTTAACACCTATGACCCCGGGATTATTGAGCTTGTATGTAAACCATTCAGCCACTAGGAATGGGAATCTAATAGCCCATCAATAATTCTGCTTTACACCAACTCACTGTGTAACCTGAAAAGTTTTGAGTTCAAACCTTGCTGTGATTGGATCATCGGTGCGTACTGTGGCTGAAGAGTCCCACATAACAACGAGACAACTGTCCGGTGCTCCGTATTGTCTCCCAGTAGATTCTCTGATTTGATAATATTTAGTTCTTGATCAAACAAACATTTCAAAGGGTGGTGATTGATAAACAGCATCATTAGCAAGAAAGCCGTCATCTCACCTCTCACCATCAACTTCTCAACCCCCCAAAAATTATGCATATTATCCAGCTCTTTAATGTATTTTGCTGCTTTTTTCAATCTTTCAATGCAATTATTGATTTTCTTTGTTCTTTTTGTCAATAACTGGTACTTGTTTGTTAATGCGCATCAAAGTTTAGTTTCTCTGTATTTGTATGCACGTTTGTGTGTGTCTGTGTGTGTTTACACACATATCTACGTACAGTTGCTTTCATCAAATGAAGAATGTAAACACTAACGTAGGCAAACTGTGTAGACGCATATTAAATATTTAAAAAAAAAGTGTTTAATTTCCGTTTCAAGTAAAACTTCGTTTACACATGCTTATAGTAGATAGAATAAGCTACAATGAGAAAGTTGAGACACTAATCTTAGAGTGTAGAGTGTATGCGACAAAATAGAACTGTGCTTCCCTCGTTTTACAGTGTAAACATGTTCGACTTCTAAAGAACTGAGGTGAGGTGGGGGATGGGTAGACAGGAAGAGAGGCCATGCATTTGAAACTCTACGCAACGATCATGTTTTTTCAGCAGCCAGATAGTATCATTATTATTAGTAGTATTGTTTCCTTTAATTCCTAGAGGAACATAGGGCCGCTTCAGGCGTGCGTCTCCATTGCGTTCGGTTCTCTGCCAACGTTTTCACCTGGCTCCAAGTCTGCCCACATGTTTTCATCTCCTCTTCACATGACTTCCTCCAAGTCACCCCACCCTCTCACTGACGACCAGCTAATTCGCCGCTTCCCCCTTTCGACCGGGTTCCACTCGAGCAATGGCTTGTCTAGTGATGTCACTCACTTGATGGTTTGTTTCCTCAGAGTATGGCCAGCCAATCCACCTACCTCCATTTCTTCCTGCCTATTTGTTTCACAATTGGTTGGTTCGCTCATTGCCAGAGATCCCTCTCTGTTGCTCATGTTTTCTGGCCGGCGGGCCATCTGATCTTGAGTAGTATTGAGCGAAGACAACTAGCTGTTAATGAAGGTCTGTAGTTTGTTTGAGATGCTCTTTATGACGCGCAGTGCAAGTCTCTGATCCATCCGTATAGTAAGTGTCACTGACTGACTTCACTCACATTGGAGTTGGAAATCCGGATCTTATCTTCGTTTTGATGGTGAGTGCTGTTGACCTCCACACAGACTTGAGAGTAGTGAAAGCTTGTCTTACTTTACCGATTCTTGCTTTGATAGTAGCATTAAGCGGATTGATTGTGTGCATAGAAATGGAATTAGATGAAATATTGTTTTTTCATTGCTCTTTGCATTCTGGTCGGAATATAAGGGAAGTCTTCAAGCCCCCCCTCTTGGACTTTGAATTTTCAGCAGTAAAGATTTCGCTTTCTATGACTATGATGTTATTGCCCTCCCCTCCCAGTGGATCATCTGCTTTTCCATGTTTATTATAGCCTGTCTAGGCGAAGTTTGACTGACTCATCTGGTTTCAAGTATTGATTTTTGTAGGGATTTAGTTTGATTGGTTAGAGGACTTGATCATAAGGTGACATCATTTGAAGAACCATTGGAAAACTTGGGAGGACTGAACAGCTGTTGCGTTCTGATTTGGGATTCCTCATCAGTATGCACCCGCCTCCATGGTATGAACTCAGGATCTTCTGGTTACAAAGGCACCGAACTCGTAGACCATTAAGCCACTGGGACCTGATCGGGTGGTGATAATATCTTCCATATTTCTGGTATTTGCATTGAGTCATTTCTGTTGCATGTGTTTGGTGTAGATTCGATGAACAAGGATTCCGTAATCAACCTCTCTTTCCACCTACCTAGATTACTTTTTAGAATTTTAACCCTCTCCTAACACCCTATTGTGTGGTTGTGTGTTAATGCATGCATTGCAATTGCTGAGCTTTTTTCTAAATTACTTATCTTTTCAGGGTCAACTATTCTTCCCTTAGCTAAATTCTTATGTTCTGATAATCTGACTACCCCCGACCTACTAGTTTGACCTATGTAATTGACTGCACGGTCATTGTAGGGTATTTTGTAAAGCATATTATTTTGTTTGATTGGGTCAACAGGGTCCTTTAACCTACAGAGCTTGTCCCTGAGTGAGTTTGTATGCTTGACTGCCACCCTAATTCCTACTTTATTGCGAATCCTACATAGGGTCTCAGATGTCCCCTCTTAAGGGTTAAATTATTGATCTCACGAAGATAAGTAATTTAGAAAAAAGCTCAGCAGCAATTGCACTGCATGCATTAGCACACAACCACACAATAGGGTGTTGGGAGAGGGTTAAAATTCTAAAAAGTAACATAGGTAGGTGGAGAGGGAGAGGTTGATCACGGAATCCTTGTTCATTGAGTCTACACCCAACACATGCAACAGAAATGACTCAATGCAAATACCAGAAATATGGAAGATATTATTACCGCCGGTCAAATCAGAAGCAAATCATAAATAACCTTAATATTCTATTTCAATTCAAACACATCAAAACATTCGAACAAGTTACTTATTATGACTATAGAAACACTCGTCTTATTTCCCATCTAATTGTAATTGATCAATAACACTCGTATTATTATTATTATTTCTGAATGTACATTATCTCATATTGAATTTTATTCCAATATCTAATCATCAATTCCACACATGTATATAAATGAAGGAAAAAAGTTGTGTGAGTAGTGCCTTGATATGATTATGAGTGGCAATAGTTTATGCTCGAAACGTCATCAGTTAATATTACTGTACAACACTGTGTGAAACTTTATCAAAATAAAATCTTATCCATAATGGAGTTATGCTCTACCACAGTGCCCAAGTTTTTTAATTACATCAGTTTTATTTCCCTTCTGATTATTATTATTATTATTTATTACCGTTATTTATTATAGCTGATCAATTTACCAGCTCCGATCAGTATGTCACAAGATGTCAATGACCAACAGTTTTGTGAGATGATGTCTAACCTAACTGTCACTTCTTCTTCGGCTGCTGCTGCTGCAACTGCTAATACCACCAACACCACAACAACAACTCCAACGAGTCATAAACTAGAATCTCCTACAACACCTGAATTATCCGTGAATCGACGCTATGCCTTATCCTCCCTGTCTGAACCACGGTTAAATGAATTAGCTAAAGCTTGTGCATTACATCGGGTCAGTTATCGATTACGCTCGAGTCGATTGAATTCGCTAAGTTCACCAGATCCACAATTAGCTAAAGTGAAAGAAGATGAAATGATTGAATCGAGTCAAAAAAAGTCTACAGATTCAGTTTCATCATCATCATTACACCCATCAACAGGTATCCATCAAAATCAATCAATCAATCCTTCACAGAATACAGCGACATCGGCAGCGGCATCAGCAGCCGTGCCATTACGTCGTCAACATATACATACACCTACGCATAGAATAGATCCAAGTCGTCGTGCATCGATGCCATCTCCAGAACCGGAGAGAGCAACATCCACATCGAATTGGTCGATTGATTCAACATCACTTGCATTGACGCATCATTTCTATGCAAGTAATACAGCTGTTTATAATAATAGTAATAATCATAGTGCTGTTAAACAACCGGTGAAGATCACTCGTGAGGATTTAGACAAATTAATGCAATCTATGCCAACTAGCATATGTAATCTTTTACGAACAGAATTGAATAAATCCTTGAGCTTGTTCAAGAGTGCTTCATTTCTGGCTAATTCATCTATGAGTCTGGTCGGTGGTGGTGGTCCTTTAGACCAATCAACAGGTTTGAAGCTGATTTCAACCACAACAACAACAACGACAATGATGGTGACGACATCGACAAGCACAACAACAGCGATGGCGACAACAATGGGGACTACATCGATCACTGGGACACAGATTAATGCGCCTGAAACAAAATCAACAACTACATCACCCATATGCAGTATCATTCATTTAACACCACTACAGTTAGTTAGCGTTGCCTGTCAAACAGAATTCAATTTAATTGAACCAATTATTAATGTTGGATCAGGTCGGAGTTTAAATTCCAGCTTAGGATTATCAGTTGATGAGTAAGATATTATTATTATTTATATTATTATAGTTATTATTATTCAAATGAACTGTCGTCAAGATTTGACAGAATAGATCTAAAATATTTGGGCGCCGAGTAAGAAGTAGACATTTGTAAAATCTCAGCGAGATTGAAATGAGTAATTCCGACGTTTCTTGTGTTCGGCAATCTGGTCCGAACTTCTTCAGGGAAAGTAATCGAATCTAACATAACATAGGTTTATAGATAAAAGGAACATCACTTGTTTTTAAAAACATCACGCCTTCATGTCTGTTCAAACTGTTAGTATCTAGAATTTTATGATTAGACGTATTTTCAAAATTATGGTGTTTAGTTAGGATTCGAGTTTAGTAGAAGCACCCTGTTGGTGGACTTATTGATTTGTCTTCTCTCTGAAGATTGAGCTGCTTTATTCGACCTACTGAAGTTGTCAGATGACTCGACAGCTACGGATTTAGGATATGCATTCTGTTGCAGTTGATGCATAGGAAATCCTTAATAATAAATAAAAAATGGATATGTATCACTAATTATTAATACCTGGTCAAAATTCTCGATTGTCCATATCTTCTTGTGGAGACGTTAAGAAATGTTTTACAACTGTTTACCCCCCCCCCACACACACACACACATACACACTCTGTTTAAAGTGTTTAACAAAGGTAGACCAATATTTGTAAGTCCGGGGTCAAATTTTGACCACACCTCATAAATTTTTGTCTATTATACTTGTTGAATGACTCATGATTGGACAAAGTTTTTAAAAACAAGTGGTGTTCCTTTTATATATGTTATGTTAATTTCGATTAATTTCCCTGAATAAGTACGGACCAGATTGCCGAACTCAAGAAATGTTGGAATTACTCATTTCAATCTCGCTGAGATTTTACAAATATAATTTTTTTTTACAAATATTATAATTATTTTTGTTATTATTATACTATTGCCTTAGAGCTCCAACACCACATGTCCATGTGTCATTGTCATCGGTAGTCCTTTTTTTAACTGGCTCTAGAATTGCTCATCTGCTTTCATCTCCTCCTTGTCACCTTCAGACCTATACCAAACTTGTTCTACTTACTCCCACTCGGGTTCCAGCAAGCACCTGACTGTTGGATGATGTCACTCTCAACGATCTTCTCAGCGTCTGTCCGACTTATCTCCACTTTTCTTGAGCAGCAGGTTCTTGGTTGGTTCTTTCGCAGAGTTTCTTGTTGCTAATTCTTTCTACCGAGCTTGGGAAGGCAGCTGTTGATAAAAGTGTGCAGTAAGTAGTCTGCTGGAAATGCTTTTTGGTGACACGTTAGCCAAGTTTCTGACTAATATATAGTAGAATTAACCTAATATTGGGGTTTAAAACCCGAATTTTGTTGTTGTTTTTACGCTGACGACGACAGACGATTTTCAAACTGTGATTTCAGAGTGATGAAGGTGGTATCTCTTTTGCCCATTCTGATTCTGGTTGTGTGATATTCTCATCCAAAGCCTCAGGATGGTCGGGGGTGGGTACCTTGCGCTGCGGGTTGGCCACCCCTCCTCACACCTCTTCAAATGCTCCCATATGACCGGGCGTCTTACATAGCCTCTCCTGAGGAAGTCCTACTCACTGCCTTCAAGTGGCGGAGGTGTTTTTCACCAAAGTGAGAGGGCGAAAGCGGATGCCCGGCGCTCTTCACCGGGTTGACTGTCCATTGGATGACAGTCTAGGGGAGATGGCTAAACCTTGATTCCAAACCTCCAACGACTGGCGTATGAAGCTCACTGGAGCTCACCGGCAGACGTATGGACAAAGGGCTTGTTGGATGTCCTGGATGTCTGGCCCCATTCAAAAAGGCGTATGAACCGAACTCCGGTCACCGGCTGCCAATGGATAGTGGACTCCCTACTCCACTCCTACTGCCTTGTAGGTCACACTTGGTTGTGTAAAGGCTAGAGCTGCACTCTCAAACAAAAGGCCGAGCGATTCTGGGGACATCACTCGTACCAAATTCCCATGAAACTTCACGAACTCTCTTACAAATGAGGTACAGTCAAGGCTGATATGGAGTGCCTGGGGCCACAAACCGTCTACTGACTCCGTCTGTGGAACAAGAATTGGACAACCCTGTCGCAAAACCTTGCATCAGGTCGCCGCGCCTGAGCAGCGATGATTCGAGATGTTCATGAAGCCGGCTCATCCTCTCGTAGGAGATAGCCGAAGTAAAGTAAAAGTAAGTATTCTCATCCATCCAGGAATTAAGGGATTTCCCTCAAATTTCTCCTGTTGATAGTGATTAGTGGCTTGTTGTTTCTTCTTGGTCGGATATATCTTTTTAACACCTCTTTGTCTCTTCTCCGTGTTTTCCCTTGAATTTTTGGTCTTCGATGATACTGGTGCTGCTGCTGCCGCCTTTTCTTCGTCTGCCAAAACAAACTGTATTCCACTTTTTGACCCATAGGCAGACCTGTGTCAGTTACACATTATGGTACTTTTATAAATTAAAACCATATTATTATTATTTATTGTTCTCTTGGGTTCCTAGTGGAACATAGGGCTTCAACTACACGTCTCCACTTACTTCTCTCTTCTGCTGTACTTTTCACCTGCATCCACGTTATTCCATACTGTTTCAACGCCTCTTCACACGACCTCCTCCATGTCACCCTTGCACTGACGACCAACTCGCCACTTCCCTTTCGGGTTCCACTCGAGCTATGGCCTGACTGACGCGCGATGTCACCCACCCAGCGGCCTCCTCAGCCAGTGTCCAATCCATCTCCACTTCTTTCTCCTGCATATTTGTTGAGCGATTGGTTCTTGTTTGTTTTGTTTCTTCCCATAGTTTCTTGTTGGTTCTTGTTCTTTCCGGCGGCCATCTGATCTTCAGAATAGAGCCAGCGAAGACAGTTGTTGTTGTTGATAAAGGTGTGCAACAGGCTGTTGGAAATATTCTTTGTGACACACTGGCCAAGTTTCTGATCCATCCGTATAGAAGAACTGACTGACTGACTTGACGTTTGTATTGAAAATCCAAATCATTTTGTTGTTGATGCTGAGTGACGAAGATTTCCAAATTAAAACCATAGCTACTCAGTATATTCCCTTGACCACTCGAATATAAGCCAGAAAACTGAATAATAATAATAGCACTAAGCTTCACGCCTTTTTTCACTATGTGTGGCTCATGGCCTGATACATGAGAAATCTGTTTCCAGTAGAGTTGAGTTGAGTTCAGTTTTCCTAGGTTTGTATAATATTTTGAACAGTTGATTTGTAAGGATTAGGCTTTTCTTCGTGTTTGACCACAGATTGATATCAGTTAGAGAGAACTATTGAAAACCAGCTGGACAGTTACTGGAGAGCTGTTTCGTCAGCCTAGAATTGCGAATTATCGGTAGTACGCACCCATTACCAGGGTTTGAACTCACTCAGGACTTGCCTTCCAGTTACAAGGCGAGCTCGTAAAAACTATTCAGCCACTACTGGGTCGTGATTCCACAATGGCCAACCATGAATTCTATCTTCCGACCTTACTTGGACATCTCATATCCTAACGATTTCTAAGAAAGTGTTCTGTCTAACCTACCGCATTAAGAACCTTAGACAATCTGGAATCACCCAACCTCTACTTTCACAATTTGTCAACTCTTGTATCTCACCTATTCTACTTTACTGCTCCCCGTTAGTCTTTCCTGGGTTACTGAAAAGGGACTACACCATCCTGAGAAGGATGTTGAAGGTAGTTAGTAGGACTAGTGGTGTAAAACTCAGTCAGCTCGTCACTACATTAGTTGAAAGGCATCTGAATACACGCGAAAAATGGTCTAAAACCATACTCTCAGAGCCCCAACACCCCCTCTATTCCCAACCCTTGTCTTGTATCTCATCAAGTAGAACCAGAAATCAGTATAAAATAATCTATGCTCGTACAACCAAGTACAGGAACTCAACGATACCATACTTGGCCCGTGTTCTAAGCGACAGAGGCAATGTTAAGCGCGAAACCTATGACTTGCTCTGTTGTTAATAACATAATTTTAGGCTCTTTTATTTCTCTCTTATTTTGTATTCTATAGTGAACTCCTTCTCAAACATACTTAGCTACCTAAATCATTAACATTGGCTTCCTTTTTTGTACTTTACTGTATTCCTTCTTTTGTGTATCTACTGGTTCCGACTATATTAACACTATGAGTATTACAAAATTGTCCTGTCATTAACCATCATGTAATTATTAATTTTTGTGGTTGTCGTTGTTTTTTTGTTCGGCAAAATTAACTGACAATCATTGGTTGTGAACGCCATTGTCACCATCTTAAAATTTTGTATTATGCAGGATTACTCACACTACCACTACAAACACCGCATTAGACCTGACAATAGAAAACAAAACAACAAACCCTGAAATGTTATTTTATAATTGTTTAGAGTTGTTTCAACCTTAATTAACTGATAATCTTGGCGATAAACACTCTCAAATATCATTTCATAACTTCTTGTATGACTACAGCTTTACTGTCATCATGCATAATCATATCATAGCTTCCACTACCGAATACTGAGATATTATTATATGTTGTTGATTTTACTTTCTACTTCTTGGTATTTTTTCGCATTTTTTAAAATTATTTTTGTGTTTTTCTGTTGTTGTTGTGTTTATATTTATTCTTTTGAAATACTCCTTTTAAATGTTTGATAAAATTAGATGCAAATATTGTAGATATGTGGTGAAAATTCCACACTGTACCACTAGTACTGTTTCTGGAATAAAGCAAATTATTATTTCGACAACACAATAAGAAGACGTAGTTTATCTGAAACGTGTAATGTATTGGCACAACACATTTCGGACATTCTGATCACACACGTACTTGTCATACACAGTTTTTATATAATGCAAGAAGGCATGAATAATTACAATACAGGTCAGATTGTATACGGGTCAAGGTCACAAATAATGGGTAGGGAGACACAAAAGGTGTGGGTAAGAAAGATAAAAGGAGAAAAAACAAGGCAAAGAAGTGGTTGAAAATATTAGGAAGTAAATTGGTCCTTGGTTCTAAATTGGATTACCAAGGCAGGTTTAAGGTGATAACAAATAATTTTTGGACACATAAGACAGGTTTAAGTCTTTTTATGGCTAAGGCTTCAATGAATTTAAGTTTGTGGCCCTACCTTGTTTTATATATGGGCTTAAAGGCATTGTTGAAATCAACCTTATGACCCGTCTCTATAATATGCTTGGCTATAGATGATGTTGGACATATATTTCCGGGTTCAATTGTGTCTGGTGATTTCATTTGTCGTTGCAGCCACTTGGGAATGTGTTCTGTAGCCCTAACCTGCAGAGACCGATGGGTCCTCCCTATGTACATGTGTCCACACATACATGTAAATTGATAAACACAGTGGGATGTGACGCTATCGTTCGGATGACGTGAGGGTTTACAAAACAGCATTGTTCTCGTTTTCTCTATGAAGATAAGTTTAGCTGCATAATAGGTTCTATTAATTGCGGCCTTTAATCTTTGTCTAGTGACTAGACTTTGTTGATCACCTCTGAAAGGTAAGGATATGTAAACATCCTTTTTGGGAGCTGATTGGATTGGCTTCAAATTATTATTATTATTACTATTATTATTATTAATATTTCTACCAATTCGTGATTTTTTTTCTTCTCCTCACCTACATATATGAATAATGACAATGTTTCTTCTGTTTTTGATTTATCGTTTTTATTTTTGTAGTTCAGCTCGTCGTACTGCTAATATTAATATTAATAATAATACATGTTGGGAAGAACTTCCTGGAAGTTTATGCAGTTGGGAATTGTGTCGTTTCCCTGTTATCCGTTCATCAAGAGATCGTATGTCGATTTCATTGAATACACTACCACGTTTTGAACATTTATTTGTCACCGTGGGTACTCAAACCGATTTACCAATTGATTTTGTCGACGATAATTCTGTGTATAATTCACCGGTGCTGAGTACAACGAATTCTGTGGATGCTCCTGCTGTACTACCCTCTGTAGATAGTGAATTGAAAGGTACAGTAGAAAATGTAAGTGATGCGATCTTTTATTATTAAGGTATTGTATTGTAAACTGTGCATACTTTTGTTTGTCTTGTGGTTGTTGTTATTTCAAAGTGGAATTGGCGGATTTCAACAATGGCGTCCCAGGAAGTGTGCAAACGCTCCACTGACCTTGAACACATGCTAGTCTTTCATCCAGATCATGTTATTAAGTACTGTCTGGATAGTGTAAAAGCTCAAGCTACTTTCGCTAACTTACGCCATCTCTGGAGTAGGCGTGACATCCGGCTATCAACCAAGGGACGTGTGAACTGCTCACCAGTTCGGTCCGTCCTTCCCTATGAGGCTCTGAAACGAGTTGAAGACATGAAAAGGTTGACTGTTTTTGATCATAGATGTCTACGATATCATTCTCACATTAGGAGGTGGTATAATAAGGTGGTCCCGGCCGATAACTGCTACCTTGCCGTGGTGGTCGGGCTTGAATGCCGCAGCGACCCAACAAGCTAAACTGGCTGGGACTCATGTCCCTGCAGGTCCTACCATGCCAGGAAGGTTGTTTGGATAGCGGTTAGACTAAAAGCAGTTACCATGGGGTACATGGGCTCCAGAATCCAATAGGATCAAATGGCGTACGAACCCATATGGGTCACCGGCAACCATGGGAACGCAGCACCTGACGCTGCTCCGCTGCCTTGCGGATTAGACTCCAAGTCAAAGGCTCGGGGGGGTGGTCCCTTAAGAAAACCACCTGCTTCGGTTAGGGCGCCCGGGCAGTATCTCAGCCCTCACACAATTAATTAAATGAAGCAACGAACTATCAGTGAAACTCATCGCGCGCTCTTAACAATGCTCTCAAGCAGTAATGATGTCCCAGTTGATATATCTCTTTCCAACCTTACTTTTATTTTTATACTTAGTTTCCTGTATTTTACCTTTCCTAACCTTGACTTCTTAACCTTCGACAGCCTTTCGCCTTTGTTTGGATTCCTAGCCTATCTGTGTCGTTTCGAGATGTTAGTGAGTAGTCCTCAAAATGGCTATCCCCAATGTGACTTCTAACACAGATATCCTGAAACCGCGTGCTGCGTTCAAGCTGGCTACTTACAATGTTCGGACGCTGATGCAAATCGGACAACAGGCAGGGTTGGCAAGAACTTTGGAAAGCCTCGCTATCGATGTCTGCTGCATTTCAGAGACCCGCATTCAAGATCCCAGTGAAGTGCTTCGACTGTCCTCTCCATCTGGAAGTTCTAGTAGTATGTACCACCTGCGCTTATCCGGGGACCCTGTGGCATCAGCATCCGGCGTAGCTGGTGTCGGTGTCGCACTGAGCGCTAGAGCCGAAGCTGCACTGCTCGACTGGATTCCCATTAACAGTCGTTTATGTGTTGTGAGGCTGGAAGGTTATACGAAAGTAAGGAGTAGTAGGCCAGATAGGCGGTGTCTATTTGTTGTCTCTGCCTATGCACCGACGGATTGCAGCCCGGATGCAATGAAGGATGAGTTTTACTACCAACTGAGCGATCTGTTGAAACAGGCGGGTCGGAGGGATATCGTAGTGCTAGCTGGGGACTTGAACGCACAGGTCGGGCGTCTAAGCTCAGAGGAGAGTCGTCTAGGTGGTCAGTGGGGACTACATGGTCGCAGGTCAGATAATGGGGACCGTCTTCTGCAGCTTTGCGCGGATCACAACCTATTTCTAGCCAGCACCAACTTCCGGCACAGCCATCGCCGTAGCGCTACCTGGCGTCCTCCCTCTGCGAAGCAAGCTTGGACTCAGATTGATCATATTGCGGTCAGTTTCCGGTGGCGAGGATGCATACAAGACTGTCGCTCCTTCTGGAGCACATGCCTGGACTCCGATCATGCGTTAGTGTGTGCCAAGTTCGTCTTGCGATTTGGTGGGGTTCGTAAAAACCGTCGTCTAAGCGTTGATGTGAGCAAACTAGTAGCACCTGCTACTTCTTTGAAATATCAGAACGAGTTGAAAACAATGCTTGCCACCAACCCCCCAAGTAGTATAGATGAACACTGGCTTCATGTGCAAGGTGCCATGCAAAAGGCGAGTGTAGCCGCTTGCGGCTTGAAAGAATGCTCCGCTAACAACCACTGGGTTTCTGCGAGTTCCTTGCAACTCATGGATGAACGCCGGTCCATTCCGGCTGGCAGTAAATACCACAATCAGCGAAAGGCGCTCACGCGCAAGATTAGACAGTGTTTACGTAAGGACCGCGAAGCCTGATGGTCAGAACGTGCGTATGAGATGGAGTCAGCTGCTGCATCTGGCAACAGTCGGAAGCTGTTCCAACTCATACGAGCCACCGGCAGCAAGAAACAAGGTGTCAGCGAGACGGTCTGTGAGGCAGATGGCACTCCAATTACCAGCCTGAAGAGACGCCTGGAACGCTGGGCAGAGCACTTCGGGAAGCAGTTCAGCTGGCCACCAGCTTCATTGTCTACTATCATTAGCCCGAGTGCTCCTTGGTCGGTTAGTACCGACCCACCCACCGAAGCGGAGGTCCTTAAGGAACTCCAAGTTCTGAAACGCCATAAGGCGCCCGGCCCAGACAAATTACCCCCGGCTCTTTTTAAAGATGGTGGCGAGACTCTCATAATGGCTCTAACTGGGTTGTTCAGGAGGGTGTGGGAGACAGAGAGCGTACCATCAATGTGGAACGAAGCCATTATCGTCCCCATCTTTAAAAAGGGTCGACGTAATTCCTGTGACAACCATAGGGGTATCAGTCTGTTACCAGTTGCGTCTAAAATATTGGCTGCTGTCATGCTTCGCAGACTGTGCAAAATACGCGAAGGATTGATTCGCGAAGAGCAGGCTGGGTTTCGTTCAGGTCGTGGATGCATTGATCATGTGTTCACCCTTCGTCAGTTGTTGGAACACCGCCACACGTATTGCAGGCCAACGATCGTTGTGTTTCTTAATATTAGGGCTGCCTTCGATTCGTTGGACAGAACTGTGCTCTGGAACTGTCTGTTAGAGAGAGGTGTACCTGAGAAATTTGTTAACATCTTGAAAGCCCTATACAGAAACACCTCAGGTAGAGTGAGGGCATACAACCAACTATCACCACTGTTCCCAACCAACAGTGGGGTTAGACAGGGTTGCCCAATCTCACCATTTCTCTTTAACTTTGCCATCGATGACATTCTGGAGTCAGCTCTGAAGGATGTGCGTGAAGGTGGTGTAGATCTGCTACCTGGAGATAGACTTTTCGACCTCGAGTATGCAGACGATATCGTCTTACTGTGCGATAGCATGCAGGCTGACCAAATCGCACTCAATCAGTTGGCGATCAGTGTCTGTAAGTATGGTATGTGCTTTGCGCCGTCTAAGTGCAAAGTACTGTTACAAGATTGGCAGGAGCCTGTACCTGCACTCACTCTTGCGGGTGAACCGCTTGAAGTTGTCGATAAGTTTGTGTACCTAGGTAGTTGTGTGAGTGCTGGCGGAGGGGTGACGGATGAGATTTCCAACCGTATAATGAAAGCTAGGGTGGCATACATCAACTTGAGCCACCTCTGGCGCCGTCGCGACGTTAGCCTGGCTGTCAAAGGTCGGGTATACAATGCTTCGGTGCGGGCTGCGCTGCTCTACGCCTGTGAAACCTGGCCTCTCCGAGCTGAGGATGTGAGGCGACTCTGCGTGTTCGATCACCGCTGTCTCCGCAGGATTGCTTGCGTTCGATGGTGTCATCGTGTGAGTAATTCTGAGGTTCGGCGGCGTGTGTTTGAACACAGTGGAGATCACCATTCATTGAATGTCGTCATCTGGAAACACCGGCTCCGGTGGCTTGGACATGTGCTTCGAATGTCACCCCAGAGGCTTCCGTACAGGTCTCTGTTCGCTAGCCCTGGGACGGGTTGGAAAAGGCGGAGAGGTGGTCAGTCCATGACGTGGCGTCGTGGGATGAAGGATATTTGTGCTAGATTAGCATCGGTTGGTGCGTCACGACTCCCTGGTTGGGGTCTGAGAGATAGCTCAAATCGATGGCTCGAAACGTTATCGGATATGGCCAAGAATCGTAATCAATGGCGAATGTGTTGCGATTTCCTTCTTTCTTCCCTTCCTGATGATAGTTAACGAACACTGTTTGAACCTGTTAAGAATGAGTGTTTTCCTTCCAGATGAAGTTCATTATTCGTTCTCTACTTATATATATTTTTCTTTTCCTGTCTTCCTTTTTTTCATCTATGTTGTTTTATTATTATTGTGTGGCGCATCCTTCTTGGTGCCATATTGTACCAAGTTTTAATGCGTTTAAATAAATAAATAAATAATAAGGTGGTAAGTAATGTTGACGTTAGGCGTAGAGTGTTGGGCGAAGAGGGAAAATCAATCGACGAGGCTATCAAGTTACATAGATTGAGATGGCTAGGACATGTGCTGTGCATGCCTAACCATCGCCTCCCCCACCCCGACGGGCATTACTGGCTGATTGATGTAGGTGCAGGTTGGAAGTAAGAAAGAGTAAGTGGTGGCCAAACAAAAACATGGCCTCATCAATCCATGAAATCCTTGACAGTTAAACTGAGTCAGTCAGGTAGGGAGGGAGGGAGAGAGATGCAGACTTCCAAGTTGGGGCCCGGCCCGCCCTCGGGACTCTAAGAATCAATCAATGAAGGCTGGAGACAGACAATAGGTGACATGGCTCAAACTCATCGTTGTCAATGGCTTACGCAGATGTATTCAGTCTCTGTAATCTTTCATATTCCTTTCTACCACCATTACTCATTCATTCTGTTTCACTCTTATACTTGTCAAAACTCTATTGATTCTCTTCACTCATTTTCTTGTGTACCTTTGTGTGGTATTTGGAAGGTGGCAACTGGAACTGGTGCACTTCGGTGTCAAGTTCTAAGTTGAACCCAGACCAGACAGAGACTGATACTCCTCATTATAACTGTGACGTATTTTTAAGTCATGTCAGAGAAAGATACTCTGTTCAGTGTGTTTTCATGCATTTTCTAGTAAACATACGTCAAATTTTGTGCAAAAGTTCCTCATTTTTTATGATTGGTCGACTGTAGGTCTCGCGTGCATTCGCATCTCTTGGGAGGCTATTGTTTGAAAATGAAAAAATGAAAATCCTAATTTTTTTTTATACGATTATTTAAATGACGAATGGAGTCATGCTAGACCCGGTGGCTCGTAGACTGTAACTACACTCTGCTAATATAATGGCTTGTCCCAGTAGTGGCCGATTAGTTGATTGGCTCATCTCATAACCTGATAATGATCATCAGTTTGATCTCCGGTAGATTCACAGCCTGTGCGTCACCTAAGAGGTTGAGGTTACGATTCCTGACTGACTGACTGACGCACTCCTAAACGTCGTCTAGCCAGTATGTAAAGGCCTGAAAGGAGGGAAAGTGTGGTAGGCGGAGTGAGGCTAACTCCTTCTGTTTGTCGACTGAATGATGATGTGCGTCGGTGGCACAGTGGTTAGGACTCTCGCCGACCATGCACATGGTCCGGGGTTCGATCCCCTGCCTACACACACCCGATATCTATGGTCGGCCTGCAAATTTGGGCTACCGATATCCATGCTGAAAATTCCATACTTGTACTGAAAATACGGTGTGACATCAAGCTGTAATCAAAAATAATAAAAAAATGATAGCAGTCCTTATTTACAGGGTATAATGCTATGCGTTGCTTTAGGTGGACGGACTTTTAGGTAGTACCTCGTTAGGGGGCAAATTTTTTTATTTTATTATAGCTTGATTCCACACAGTATTTTGATACAAGCATGAAATTTTCAGCATGTGATGTAGGTAGCCTAAATTTAGCAGGCCGACCATAGATATCATGTACCACCGACGCACACATGAGTTCGAATAATAATAAATTCCGTTTCACCTTTGTTCACTATTAGTAGTAGAATTAAGTAGTATTGTAGGCCTTCAGACAATAAATCTGGTATAGATGCAAATATATGCGAAACTGCATGTTTTACCGTGTTGTTTCCTTTTTCTAAAAAAAAGTTTGTTTTCCTCCCCAGGATTCAGCACAACCTCATGAATGCGTCAGCAAAACCGCTCCTGCTCCTCCTCATGCTACATCTTCATGCCCTAATAATAATGAGGACAACGAAGAAATGCTTGATGACAATGTTGTCCTGTCTGAGATATTCACAGAAGCCGTGGATGATGATGACGTTGACGATGATGATGCCGATTTATTCACTGATTCCGCCCTAATGATGACATCAAGTTTTCATTCAACTCGTACAACATTTTCAAATAATAATAATGGTATTGGTAATAATCATAATAATCAATATGACAATGATGATGATGATAATATTGACAATCTATCCCACCAGCATACACCGTTAATGTCGATCACTCAAAGTCGTTGTAGTGATGATGATGCTGCAGATGATACTGGTTGTCGTAGCAGAAGCAGTAGAAGTAGTAGCGGTAATCTGTGTTATATTACAGATGGTGTTGCTGCCGGGGATGATGGTTCTACTACAACTCAGTATGGATCTATGATGTCTGATGGTAAGTTAGTCTATATTACTTTTCAAAAAAGATTAATTACTTGGAGTTTTCGATGAGCTCAACTACCTAGAAAAAAAGATCTACGGGTAAATTAGGCTGTGTTGTCTCGATAGACTGTAATTCCAGGTGTTATTATTATTGTTTCTTTTAATTCCTAGAGGAACATAAGGCTTCAGCCATGCATCTCCACTGAGTTCGGTTCTCTGCTAGAGTCTTCACCTGACTCCAAGTCTGCCACACTCTTTCATCTCCTCTTCTCTTCATGACCTCCTCCAAATCACCCTCACCCTCTCACTGACGACCAACTCGCCACCGCTTCCCTTTCGGCCGGGTTCCACTCGAGCAATGGCTTGTCTAGTGATGTCACTCACTTGATGGTTTGTTTCCTCAGAGGATGGCCAGCCAGCCAATCCACCTACCTCCATTTCTTCCTGCCTATTTGTTTCACAATCGGTTGGTTCGCTCATTGCCAGAGATCCCTCTCTGTTTCTGATCTTTTCTGGCCGGCCGGCCGGCCATCTGATCTTGAGTAGCATTGAGCGAAGACAACTAGCTGTTAATGAAGGTCTGTAGTTTGTTTGAGATGCTCTTTATGACGCGCAGTGCAAGTCTCTGATCCATCCGTATAGTAAGTCGCACTGACTGACTTCACTCGCATTGGAGTTGAAAATCCGGATGTTATCTTCGTTTTGATGGTGAGTGCTGACTGTTGACCTCCACACAGACTTGAGAGTATTGAAAGCTTGTCTTGCTTTTCCGATAGATTCTTGCTTTGATATTCTCGTCAGTTCCGTTGGCCTGTAATTGAAACGATGCTTCCCAGGTAGGTCGGCAGGTGAAGGAGGTTGTTTCTTTCAGGTTCCTTGCACTTATGCTGGCTGATTGTTGTCTGTTGTTGTTGTTGTTGCTGTTGGTGGTGTTGCCAAGGAATCTTCCAGGTGTTACACAGTAGTATTCATGGTATATTCATCACCCAAGTCCTTTCTTTTATTCAAAGTTTGACCACTAACTGACATGTCAGTCAGTCAGAGAGAGAGAAGCATTGGGAACCATCAGAGAGTATTGGGCAGTCGTTTTGTTTCTGTTTGGGTTTCTTCATCAGTCATTGCGCACCCATGATCCAACCTCCGGGGATCGAACCCAGGACCAAGTTACAAGGTGACCGGGACTCAATCTAACTTCTGTCAATTCGCCGTGATATATATAGTGCTATTGTAGGTGATAGTATCATCGACGAGTATTTTCCATCTCTTCCAGCTTGATGGTTATTCTGTTGGTCAGAACTTTCCATCAGAAGTTCAGGCAACTTCATCCCACAGTCAATCAATCAACTAGTGGGAACTAGATGAATTCACAATTCTTGATTTGTTGTCTTAATTTATTGATTTCAGAATACGTCACATCAAACTGGAGAACCACCATTGAAAACCAACAATGATGAATACTGCTCGACTGTTTCCCCCTTGTTTGTTTGCGTCTCTTCACCAGCTAGTACGTACCCTTGTCTTAAATGCTAAGGATCGAATCCAAGGCCTTTAGTTTACAAGATGTGCTCATAGAAACAGAAAACAAAACAAAACAAACGAAATTATCTTAAAACGAAAGGGGAAGAGTTTAAAGCAAATGATTACGTAATCAAATAAAAGGGGATGGGTAGAGAGGCTTTGAGTTATCCTGGTCAAAGGAAGACTAACAACTTCTTCTTTCTGAACACATCATAAGTCTGGATTTTTACGCGTTTCCAATTCACCCAGTTGGCTAGTAAGGAATTCGTGTGATATGAGAAGGCACTCAACCCTTTGAGTTGAGCAAATCTGGGCACACGTGTCTCAAACGAGCGAAACAATCGACTAGTTGTTTCCAATAACTTGTATCGGTCAATCAGGAGTATATATCAACAAAGCGACAAGTTAGCAGAAGAAGCATCAAAGATAGGAAGGAATTCAGGTGAACATAGAGAAAACAGATGTGGTGATGAAGATTCCTGGCCAACACCACCAACAGCAACAACAACAACAACAGACAACAATCAGTCAGCATAAATGGAAGGAACCTGAAAGAAACAACCTCCTTCACCTACCTACCTACCTACCTGGAAAGCATCGTTTCAACTACAAATGGACGGAACTGACGAGGATATCAAAGCAGTAACGATCGGAAAAGCGAGACAAGCTTTCACTACTCACGTCAAGTCTGTGTGGAGGTCAACACTCAGCACTCACCATCAAAACGAAGATAATATCCGGATTTTCAACTCCAATGTGAGTGAAGTCAGTCAGTGCCACTTACTATATGGATGGATCAGAGACTTGCACTGCGCGTCATAAACAGCATCTCAAACAAACTACAGACCTTCATTAACAGCCAGTTGTCTTCGCTCAATACTACTCAAGATCAGATGGCCGGCCGGCCGGCCAGAAAACATCAGCCAGCAACAGAGAGGGATCTCTGGCAATGAGCGAACCAACCAACACAGCAGGAACCAACCGATTGTGAAGCAAATAGGCAGGAAGAAATGGAGGCAGGTGGATTGGCTGGCTGGCCATACTGTTAGGAAACAAACCATCCAGTGAGTGACATCACTAGACAAGCCATTGCTCGAGTGGAACCCGGCCGAAAGGGAAGCGGTAGCGAGTTGGTCGTCATTGCAAGGGTGGGGTGACTTGGAGGAGGTCATGTGAAGAGGAGATGAAAGCGTGTGGAGACTGGCAGACTTGGAGCCAGGTGAAGACTGTAGCAGAGAACCGAACGCAGTGGAGACGCACGGCTGAAGCCCTATGTTCCTCTAGGAATTAAAGGAAACAATAATAATAATGATAATAATAATTGATTGATCGATTTCATAGACAGATCTTCATATCAGTTAAAATTGTCACTTTTTTCAGGACTATTTGCATTTATATATATATATATATATGTATATACATATATATGTATATATGACCTCGCATTACAAAGTCTCTAGTTCAAGTAACTTCTTCAGCACAAGATAGACACTGTTCAACGAGAGTTATTTTGAGTCCTGTAAAATAAGTTTCAGCTTTGAGTGTGTGCATAGAATAATTACGTTGGTTGGTAGTATGTGTGGTTAAATAATTTAATTCTGCTCTTACTGTCTGCGTGTGTGTGTGTATGCGCGCGTGCTCTTACTTTGAGTGTTCAATATTTCTAAAATATATAAGGCAACGCTGTGCGTATTATTTTAGAAGTTAATAATGTAGTATAGAAATCTATCAATTATTCTTTTTTTTTCTCTATATATATTCAATAAAAGGGTTTTTGTAATTCATAAGCACTATTATTATTACAGTTTTTTCAGTCAATTCTTCATACGCACTGTGTGTGTGTGTGGTTTTGTCATATGATCTTGACAATTTCTATCATACGTAATGTGAAAAAAGGCATTTAGCCATACACCACCACCGCCTTCTATCTCTTTCTCTCCCCCTTCTACCCCGAGGTTGATGTGAAGAGCCCTCAGCTAAAGATAGTAGTGTGTATTGACTTAGACACATACATAGCATCTTTCTTCTGATTGGCTGCTACCTAGTGACCAATCAAAGTACCCATTTAGGTTAGTCTTACAGGAGGTCAATCACGAAGAACACGAAGACCTCAATGGTGGTACCGTTTCTTTCTAAATGTTGTAGCGCAAGGTGACGCGGGTGCCAACCTCACAGAGTGGCAGATGCGTTCCCCTTCCAGATTTCAGAAACGCCTGTGTGATTTATGTGATTGCCAACATGCACGAAAACAAGGTCTACTCGGAAGGGTTTCCTTCCGATTGCCTCCAATCATTTAACAGTATATCTTCCTCCACGTTTGAAAACTCTCTGCTTCACCTTCACACTACACATATGCGTGAAAACAACTTCCTTGACTAAATACCGGTCGGTTTTCGACATAGAACTTTGCACATATGTGCGCCAGTTCTAGTCGCCACACTTCCTCCATGTACCACACAAAGCAAGAGAAGAAAGTAGTAGAAATGCATATTAGAGAGAGACAGTAAACAGAGGTGTGAGACAAAGGTATAGTAATAACGAAGAACAAAACAGTTTCATTGGAAATCGCAAGGAGTCACAAGGAGTGAATGCATCTGCACCAGCCAGCCATTGAGAACGATCACTTTGAGCTAGCCATGTCACCAATTGTTTCCAACCATTGGGTTTTACCGTCGTGATATCTGGCTGGTTGTTGATCAAAGGGCGTGTGTACTTCTCAGTAGTCCGCTCCGTTCTCCTTTATGGCTGGCTGTAAGACCTGGCCATTGAGAGCAGAAGACATGAAAAGATTGGCTGTCTTCGATCATAGGTGTCTGCGTTCTATCTCCCGTGTGAAGTGGTGTATAATAAGGTGAGCAATATTGAGGTTAGGCCATCGGTCGAGTGCTAGTTGGTAAGGAGGGGAAATCAATCGACGAGGCTGTGAAATTACATCGACTGAGATGGTTAGGACATGTGTTACGTATGCATGCCTAGTCATCGCCTTCCTCGACAATGGGCAATGTTAGCTGACATAGGATGGGTCAGGCTGGAAAAGAGCTAGCACATGGTGGTCAAACGAAAACATGGCTTCACCAGTCAATGAAATCTACAACAGTTAGTCTAAGCCAGCCACGTAGGAAGGTGTAGACTGGCTTCCTGACTGGTTGGGGTCCTCGGGACGGTAAAAACCAATGAAGGCTGGAAACAATTGGTGACATGGCTAGCTCAAAGTGATCGTTCTCAATGGCTGGCTGGCGCAGATGCATCCACTCCTTGTGACTGACTTATGATTTCCAATGAAACTGTTTTGTTCTTCGTTATTACTATTCCTTTGTCTCACACCTCTGTTTACTGTCTCTCTCTAATATGCATTTCTCCTACTTTCTTCTTTTCTGGCTTTGTGTGCTACATGGAGGGAGTGTGGTGACTTGAACTGGAGCACAAATGTGCAAAGTTTTATGTCGAAAACAGTCAGGCAGGCAGGCAGGTTCATACTACGTTGTCTTGTAGTTTCATAGTGACTAGCAGAAACTAAGCTTTTTGCTGAAATATAATCATTCAATGAGCGCGACAACGGTAATAGCTGATATACATTACACACAAAAGGTGAGTGCAGGTTTGTATTTAAGGATCATTGAGAACATTATCACTCACCGACGATTTAAAAGGATCCAGTTGATGACTCTACGAAATGCTCATCTTGGATTCCACCATCACCTTAAATAACATCATGTAATGGATGAGATTTTTAGCTCAAGTGGATGATTTTGATGTAATTGTTCTCTCTGAGCTGGATGGTTTACTTACGAAGCTTTCATTGCCCGACTAAGCAACATCTTCAGCGCATACACTTCAATTCGATGATGTTGTTGTTGTTTAATTGTCATCAGAACATCCGTACTTGATTAAGCGCAATCGATTAACGGGGAATGTACAAGAGTTGTAGGTCTTATAGCTCTCACAGCCTAATCGATCAGGGGAAGGGTTTAAATTTAAACGGGAACACCCCACTGCTCATTGAGAATGCAGAGAGTGTCAAACGGGATGAAATGTGCCCGTTGACTTCCATTGACAACATCGTTTTGTAATCATGCATATAACTTTGAGTCTTTGTGTGTATGTGTATATTTTAATGTAAGGCTTTGCGTTATTGGCTGTTATTGTCAAAATTCTATTGTTCCACGATCGTAACATGATAAAAGTTGACAAGGAAGACGTCACTTTCAGAATATTGTGGTGTATATAAAAAGAGTATATTCTTAAGGATGACACCTACTCACACATTATTATCACACCATTACTATCACTGTTAGTTTCATGAACCAACCATCAACAGTTAGTGAGGTAGGTAACTGTTTTTTTCCCCATTTTGAAACTTCTTAGTAGTAGTGTGCACCCACACACATCCACTTCTAAAGATCGAACTGGGAACCACCACCATCATTTCAATGAGAGGCCCACTTGATCCGGAATCCAATGACCCATAAATTCTTTTTTTTCGTTCACGTTCCCCAGTGGAACATAGGGCTTCAAGCTTGTGGCTTGAAGTTTCTGTAGCAGTGTTTATTTTACAGGATGGGGTTGCTAGCCTGCCTCATACCCAACCTTTTCTCTTCACCAGCATTATTTCTGGCTTAGCGAGGTAAAGGAGTGCGTCTGTGGCCGGGGATCGAACCCCGGACCATGTGCATGGTCGGTGAGCATCCTAACCATTATGCCACCGACGCACACCCATAAATTCTGCCTTCTGTCAATCAATTAACTTGACTCTTTGCTGAACTACTTGTCTTTTGTCTACTAATATCACACCAACGCCGAACACTACCTTCATGCAAATGAGTGTGTATTTCACCTTGGCTACGACTTATCACTTCGGTTTGAGGACACCCCACCCCAGTAGCTATCAACTGGTGTTGTTTCTTGATGTAATCGATAATCTGAAATTAATGATACTGTTTTTTGTTTTGACCTATATTTTTCTTATAGGTGTGAAAACATCACCTGACGACGTACTGTTATTATCGTCCTCATCATCACCAGCTGGGGGAAGTGGCGTTGGGGGACGAAGAGGTGTTGACGGCAACCGCCGCCATCGCCACCACCACCACCACGACCACTCAGGTGAAGTATTACCACCACCAGAGTCAAATAATGATCAACAGAATCAAACAACACCATCTCTTGCCTCTTCTTCAGCAGCTATCTTAGATAATTGTTGTATCAAATGTCAATTAAGACGTAAACATCATAAAGAATACTTTAGTTTACTTCAAAAATGTTTACAAATTATTAAAGCTAAAGAAGAAAATGAAACGAATTCACTTAATCCTGATGTTACTGTGAATGCGGCAACTGGTGGTGGTGATGGTACTACTAGTAGTCAGTGTCAGTCAACAGCAGTACGTGGAGGAACAACCCCCGAAACAACGACGACAACAGCACCACTTCAGTCATCAGATACAATACAGACACCATTAATTTCGCTAAATAGAAGTCAATTGAAATGTCTTTTAAGTGTAAGTTTTGTTAGTTTTATTTGTTGTATTGAACATTTAATACCTTGATTTATTTATCTTTGTTTATAATTTGGTATTATTATTATTTATTATTGTTTCCTTTAACTCCTAGTGGAACATAGGGCCTCACCCATGCGTCTCCATTGCCTTCGGTTCTCTGCCAACGTTTTCACCTGGCTACAAGTCTGCCCACACGTTTTCATCTCCTCTTCACATGACCTCCTCCATGTCACCCCACCCTCTCACTGACGACCAGCTAATTCGCCGCTTCCCTTTCGGTCGGGTTCTACTCGACCAATCGCTTGTCTAGTGATGTCACTCACTTGATGGTTTGTTTCCTCAGAGTATGGCCAGCCAATCCACCTACCTCCATTTCTTCCTGCCTATTTGTTTCACAATCGGTTGGTTCCTGCTGTGTTGGTTGGTTCGCTCATTGCCAGAGATCCCTCCCTGTCTGTTGCTGATGTTTTCTGGCCGGCCGGCCGGCCATCTGATCTTGAGTAATAGTATTGAGGGAAGACAGCAGCTAGCTGTTAATGAAGGTCTGTAGTTTGTTTGAGATGCTGTTTATGACGCGTAGTGCAAGTCTCTGATCCATCCGTATAGTAAGTGGCACTGACTGACTTCACATTGGAGTTGAAAATCCGGATGTTATCTTCGTTTTGATGGTGAGTGCTGTCTGTTGACCTCCACACAGACTTGAGAGTAGTGGAAGCTTATCTTGCTCTTCCGATCGATTCTTGCTTTGATATCCTCGTCAGTTCCGTTCGCCTGTATTTGAAACGATGCTTCCCAGGTGGGTAGGTAGGTAAAGGAGGTTGTTTCTTTCAGGTTCCTTCCATTTATGCTGGCTGATTGTTGTCTGTTGTTGTTGTTGCTGTTGGTGGTGGAGTTGGCCAGGAATCTTCATCACCACCTCTGTTTTCTCTATGTTCACCTGAAGTCCTTCTTATCTTTTATGCTTCTTCTGCCAAGTTTGTGACCATTCCTCATTTGGCATAAAATTCTTCTAAAATGACTCACTCTTTTTATCACTTTATCTACCACCTAATGATGAGTGGGTGGGGATGGGGGGATAGTAGGGATTGGCGTGTTTGTGAACCTCATAGAGTCATTCTTATTGGTTTGATGATGTTGAACGCCTTATAGACTAATAAACTCCTTCAATTCAGTCTCAATTCACTGATACATAGATAAAATACAAGTCGATGAATATAGCAAAAATCCCCATTTAGACATTTAGAAAACAGAAAGATTGAGCGAAGAAATATTTACTTTTCAATTAGATCCTCATCTCTGGCTCTACTCTAATATATTCTGTATAGCATTTTTATTACAATACACAACAGTTTACCAGTCAAGTGGCACTGATATGTTTGTTAACAATAATTAGTCAGTGTCAAAATGTCAATCAGTGGGTTGATAATTAACGAAGAAAATCAATACACATTTAAAAGGTAGAAATGGTTAGAATAAATTAATTTTACAAGGATAACACGTAATTAAAGATGAAGTGGTCAAAATAAAAATAAAAATAAAATAATTTGGACATTTATAATTTTTTATAGTTTTTAACGGTTTAGGGGGAGAGGGGCGACGTAGACCTGTTTATGCATTCTTCTAGAGATGGCCACGGTAAGAAAAGTGGCTGTACATATTTCTTCTGATTGCTTCAGCTGTCTGTAGAAGACGAACACGTAGAGCAAAATTAAGATTAGTCGGAATTCGAAAAATATTTTTAAATGCAGTATTAACATCAATCTTATGCTCAGTATCAACAAGGTGTGCTAAAATAGAACTACGAATAGATGTTGTTTGTCCTCCCTTGCTTAACCATGCTGGATGATGTTCGGAAATACGACGATGAACCTGCCAAATTGTACGCCCAATGTAGCTGGCTCCGCAGCTGCAGTCAAACTGGTAGATACACATAGAAGAGGCAAATTTAGGTAGTTTATCCTCATTTCTCGAACATAGAATAGGGGTGGTTTTGAAAGACAACGTGCCTCGTAAACATAATAAGCTCTTTTAACTGAATTCTTCAAGCGCTGTGTTATGATTTCGCTTATGTTGTAAAATTAATTTATTCTAACCATTTCTACCTTTTAAATGTATGCGTATTGATTTTCTTCGTTAATTATCACCCGTCGAATTGACATTTTGACACTGTTTAATTATTGTTAACAAACATACCAGTGCCACTTGTTTGGTAAACTGTTGTGTATTGTAATAAAAATGCTATACAGAATATATTAGAGTAGAGCCAGAGATGAGGATCTAATTGAAAAGTAAATATTTCTTTCTGTTTTCTAAATCCATGAATATTAGGTGGTGTTGTTGTGGTGGTGATGGCACTGGTAGTGTGTTATGTGTGCATCATGATCTCAAACATTTTTAATTTTTCAAAAGAAAAAAAAGAAAAGATTTATTTAATGATTGACATACTCTGTTTTTTTCATAAATACTACTGCTACTATCATCTCGTTTTTAGAATAGTCACATGCACCTTTCATATGACACACGTTGTCATGGTGATGTAAAAATAGCGTATATTATTGTAGAGTAAAAAACACTTCCAGACGCAAACAGAAAGGCGCATAGTAGAGAGATTAATGACAGTTTGTGTGTGTTTGTGCGTGTGTTCGCGTTTGAAGTATATTCGAATTAATTTTAATTATGTATATGGCTTGACTTAATTGGTGATGGTAGGCTTACAATGGAATCCACGGTGTGTGTGTGTGTATGTGTGTTTGTGTGTGCATGTTTCTCTCTATTTCAGACTCATCATCAGTATGATATTGGAACTCGAACCTACTATTACAAAATTCAAAAGTATTATATCCACTAGGCTATGGATAGAAAAGGCGTTTCAAGACCAACAAAAAACACCTTCCTCCTTCTGTACCAGGCTCTAGATTGTACTCATTGTGTTCTCTCTCTCTCTAATGAATTAATTAGTCTGTGTTCTTGTTCTAGTTTTGGGGTAGGTAGGTAAGCTACTCATATGGTCTGTCTGGATTTGATTTCGTGCCTCTACGGACTGACTTCTTAGCCTCGTGCTGGCTGCGTTTATAGGCCTGATGATGAAGAGGAAAGGTTAGTCAGGAGTAGTTACACTAGCAACTTTACTCACTCCGTAGAACGAAATAACACCACTGCTTGGAGTCCCTATGCTCCACTCGGAAGATTTAATTAATAATATATTATTATTATTGTTCCCTTGGGTTCCTAGTGGAACATAGGGCTTCAACTGCACGTCTCCACTTGCTTCTGTCTTTTGCTGTACTTTTCACCTGTATCCATCCATGTTAGTCCATACTGTTTCAACTCCTCTTCACACGATCTCCTCCATGTCACCCTTGCACTGACGACCAACTCGCCGCTTCCCTTTCGCGTTCCACTCGAGCTATGGCCTGACTGACGTGCGATGTCACCCACCCAGCGGCCTCCTCCTCAGCCAGTGTCCAATCCATCTCCACTTCTTTCTCCTGCATATTTGTTGAGCGATTGGTTCTTGTTTTGTTTGTTTGTTCCCATAGTTTCTTGTTACTTCATGTTCTTTCCGGAGGCCATCTGATCTTCAGTATAGAGCCAGCGAAGACAGTTGTTGTTGTTGATAAAGGTCTGCAACAGGCTGTTGGAAATATTCTTTGTGACGCAACTGCCAAGTTTCTGATCCATCCGTATAGAAGAAGTGACTGACTTGATGTTTGTATTGAAAATCCGAATCGTTTAGTTGTTGATGCTGAGTGAGTGACAGAGGAAGATTTCCAGATTGGTTTCAGGTTGATGAATGTGTTTCTCGCCTTCCCGATTCCAGATTTGACATCCTCGTCGGTTCCTCCTCCTGTAGTTGAGACAATGCTGCCTAGATAAGTGAAAGAAGTAACCTCTTTCAAATCCCTCCCGTTGATGGTGATTGGCACTGGAAGTTGCTATTGCTGTTGTTGTTGTTGTTGGTTGGTTATTTTCATAGCCTCCGTCTTGTCTATGTTCACCTGGAGTCCTGTCTTTGCCTCCTTCTTCTTCGACCAGTTTGTCGGTTCTCGCTTGTAAGTCTTCGATTTTGTGTGAAATCAGACATAAATCATCCACACGCGAAATCCAGGTCTTCTAGGTTCTTCACGTCTGTGCAGGATATCCCTGTCTTCTGGTTTCCATGCACTGTGTGACGCATAATCCAGTCCACCACAATTGGGAATATCATTGGTGGTAGTAAGCACCCTTGTTTGACTCCTGTGTTTGCTCCAAACGCCTCGTTGAGTTTTCCGTTGTGGATCAGTTGACATGTGCCGTTGTCGTACAGCTGTTGAATAAGGTTGGTGAATATTTGGATTGCGCCGTAGTACTCGAGTAGTTTCCAAATTACTGATTTATGTATTTATTTAAAAATAAATGGAGACCTGTAAGAAAAATAATATAAATAACAAGGGATTCAGAGTTTCGATTGTACTACTGCCTTATAATCAAGTAAAATCATTCGAATTGGTTATACCTGGGATTTCCCGTATACGACTGGGATTAGGGTGGTATTTAAAAGTAACCAAACTCACTCAGAGACAAAATTTATCGATCTAAGAACTGGATAAATCCAATTTAAGAAACATGATATAATTTATTAAATACTGTGAGGTTAATTACTCGAGTGGAACTAGTAATTAGAACACTTGGGTGGCGGTTCACGGGGTTGATTGCTCGCCAACTATGCATACATGGTCCGAGGTGCAATTCCTGGACTGCGGCGCACATGTTTACCTCCCTCAACCGGTTGTAAAAGAGGGAAGCCTCAGGATGGTAAGTGAGGCTAGCAGCCCCACCCCACCCTCCTGTAAGAAGGAATAACACCACACCACACTGCTACTGGAAACTTCGAAGTTCAAGCTTAAAGCTGTATGTTCCACTCAGAAACCAATGAAATTAAGTAGATAAATAAATAAATAGTAATTGAGTAATGCTCGGTGATAAGTAGTTGGGAAAAATTGCTCGACCAATGCATGCAACCAAACAATAAGGTGGAATAGGATAAAATTACTGGAGAACGTCATCCTCCAATTATTTATGCTGTTACTCGCCGACCATGCACATAGTCCGAGGTTCGATCCCCGACCGACTCACTCCTTTACCTCGCTAAGCTAGTAATAGAACTGGTAAAGAGGGAAGGTTGGGCATGAGGCTAGCAACCCCATCCTGTAAAATTAAATACCACTGCTACAGAAACTTTAAGCCTTTAGCTTGAAGCCCTATGTTCCACTGGGAACGTAAAAGGAATAAAAAGAACAAAAATACTCACTGGTGTGAATTGTTATACTGAATAAACTTATCCATATATGGAATTATATTCTACACTATTCAAAATTCTTCTACACATTTTATTTTCTTTTTTCTTTTTCAGGTGTTAGAATCGTGTTCTCTTATGTTCCTGAAAAAATCTAAACACAGTCTACCGTGTCTTTCGTCTCATCCACCTACGGAGGAGACTTCAGCTGATGATAAAGTTGGAACTGATCATTCTGATCCGGATTTATCAACAACGCTAAAAGAAGACAATTCTGAAGAGTTGATCAATTCTACACTGAATGAAGTAATTTGTTTATTTTTGTTTTCACTTTTTTTTTTCTATAACACGTTTATCGCGATATACACGCATATGTCACACTTTTTCGCGATATTCGATTATCTCTCTGATGACGTTGGCTTGCTTACTGAGCATAATTTACAACTCTGTCAAATACGTGCGGATTTCAAATTCTACCTCCAGTCCATGTCAACCGTCAGACAATATGTGTGTGCCACCTAGTGTAGCCTACTGTACATGTCTGGTCTGTCTGGATTCAACATAGAACTTGGCACCGAAGTGCAGCAGTTCGAGTTGTCACCTTCCAAATACCACACAAGGGTAGACAAGAAGATGAGTGAAGAGAATCAATAGAGATGTGACATGTATAAGAGTGAAACAGAATGAATGAATGAGTAATAGTGGTAGAAAGGAATATGAAAGATTACAGAGACTACTGAATACATCTGCGTAAGCCATTGATAACGAACGATTTTGAGCCATGTCACCTATTGTCTGTCTCCAGCTTTCATTGATTGATTCTTAGAGTCCCGAGGACGGGCCGGGCCCCAACCCGGAAGTCTGCATCTCCCTCCCTACCTGACTGAGTCAGTTTAACTGTCAAGGATTTCATGGATTGATGAGGCCATGTTTTTGTTTGGCCACCACTTACTCTTACTCTTTTCCAACCTGCACCTATATCAGCTAGTAATGCCCGTCCGTCGGGGAGGGGGAGGCGATGGTTAGTCATGCGCAGCACGTCACCTAGCCATCTCAATCTATGTAATTTTATAGCCTCTTCGATTGATTTTCCCTCTTTGCCCAACACTCTATGCCTAACTTAACGTCAACATTACTTACCACCTTATTATACCACCTCCTAACGTGAGAAAGAGATCGTAGACATTTATGATCAAAAACAGTCAACCTTTCATGTCTTCAACTCGTATTGGCCATGTTTCAGAGCCACAGAGAAGGAAGGAGCGGCGAACTGGTGAGCAGTGCATTCGTCCCTTGATTGACAGCCGTATGTCACGCCTACGCCCGCCAGAGATGGCGTAAGTTAGCGAAAGCTATACTGCATGTATGGAAAATTCAAAGAAGGTGAAATATTCAACCACAATTTCTTCTGGAAACCAAAATTACTCAGATCACACATACAATGCGTGGGATCGAACCCCGGGGTCAAGTGCATCGTCGGCGAGCATTCTACCACTATAAGCCACTGACGCACATTCTACTGATGGATTGACTAATATAAATGAACTGTTTACCACTCATAATTAAATCAAACAGTGCTTCCTAACCAGATCGATATGTGATATGAGAGCACCGCTCACGATTGTTTCATTAGTTTGAAGGCTGACTTCATCAGTTCGCCTATGTGTGGTGGAGCTAGACAGAATTCAGGTGGTTTGAGCTGATCCACCACTCTGAGCTGAGTTGCCTAACCGGGGACACCAGTGATGATGACGTCAGCCCCTCAAACGAGTGCAATGGTCATCGAGTAATGTTTGCATCACTTCAGTCTTGAAAATCCCCATTCAGTCATGTAAAAGAAAAGAAGGCGTTCAGCGAAAAGACTCTTTTCGGCGAATTCATTCACTGAGCTGTACAATCGCATTTATATACAATTTTATTTGTGTGTGTGTGTACATTAGATTTATAAAGTTTAGACAATTACGTAATATCAGTATTATTTGGCTAGGAAACAAATGTTAATTAGATAGAAAATAAAATAGAATTGATTGAGTGAATTGGATGACACAATACAATTGAGTAGAATTCAGAGTAGATCAGGTTGGCAACAGTGTCAATGAGTGGTGGTTAAAACTAAATAAGGGTGGGGGTAGAGAATAATACAGTTGAAAATTAAATAAGTTAATCGGATGACGTCACATAGTTGACTAGAAATTGGACGTGGGTCGAGTTAGCAACATTGTTAATGAGGGTAGAGATTACAAAAGGGTGGGGTAGAGAATAATACAAATGAATATGTGAAATAATAAAATGCAAAAGGCGAAATAATACAATTAGTAAGACTGAAATTAAGAAAGATTACGTCCATTGTAGATTTAATGAATGAACGAATTTCTTTTGTATGCAGAGTTCAGGATTTAGCAGATGAATTGCCATTGCTTCTGCGATGTGGAGAAGTTTGATCCGTACGCTTTTAGCAAGATTGCCTTGTATTCTGTAGATAACTTTGAAGTTTATTTGTGGTTTGACTTGGTGTCCAGATTCGATCAAATGTTTAAGGATCGAGCTGCGGGGGTATCGGCTTTCTTCTTTATAAAACCATGAACGTAAATGTTCGTTGACACGTTTGGATAGCGAACGCTGAGTATGGCCGATATACCTGGCTCCACATGAGCAGGTGAATTGGTAGATGCACATAGATGAGGTCAACAGCGGTAGCTTATACTTCACATTCATGCGAATCATTGGTCTCGTGGAGAACGTCAGTCGTAATTCAGCTGCAAAGAAGTTTTTCTTCAATTAGCGGGAGAGCCGATTTCTCAATATTTCTGTAGATTGGTCTCCATTGTACAGCTCAGTGAATGAATTCGCCGAAAAGAGTCTCTTCGCTGAACTCCTTCTTTTCTTTTATATCACTTCAGTCTGACAGGCTTATACGTTGATGTGAGTAGTAGTGCCTAACTAACTCATCTCAATCGATCTAGTAGTCCATATGCCGTCATACATCGTTTACACACTACACTCGCATTCATGATTTATTTTTGGCATATTCAGTTCTTTTGTTACCACCTCCACTGTATGTGTTTTCCACTCTGTGGTGTATTTCGCGTTCTTCTAGAGGGGTGTTTTAAAGTGTTCTCATAAGTGATATTTTATTTATTTTTCCAATTTTTCAACTTTTTTTGTTTGTTTGCATACTTACTCCATTGCATCAATCAGTCTGTGTATGTGCAGAGTACTCCAAAAAAATTGATAAAGTTATTTTCTTTCTTTCTTTCTTCTCCTAAAATTCCACACTTGAATTTATTGATTGTGTGTCGTCATTGTTACTTTTTTTTCTTCTGGCTTTTATACGCATTTTTGTGTGTCCCCTTCTTTGTTCGTTCGTTTGTTCGTCTGTCTGTCTGTGTGTTTGCATACTCGCTTGCCTGCATACCTGCCTGTGGTCTGCTGGCTTGTTTGACATTTATTTCCTTTGTGTTTCTAAGCCTTTCATGTGACGTCAACATGATTTTGTCTTATTTTATACTATCAGCTGATTTGCCTATTGATTTATTGATCGGGTTCTTTTTTTTCTCACTCGTCTTTTTCTGCTTAAAAAGCACTTTTGGTTGTATGTTCACTAGAATTGGAATATACAAGGAGATGTCTATGGAAGGATGACGTGTAAGATGTTGAAGCATTCCGCATTCTTGGTCCTAGAAACAACTCAGTACATACGGAAGTCGATAGACTTTGGTGTTCCTCTCAAAATGCTGTCATCTGGCCACGCATTTATATCCTATACTGGATAAGTCCTATTCATTCACCTTCCTCATAAAAGTGTAAGGACGAATGCAAAAGTTAGGCACCTACAACTTGACTTGTTGACACTCAGGTTTGCCTAAGAGAGTTGGAAAATCCTGATTCCAAACTTTTGTTGCACATAGGAGGCTCCACTTTCCGAACAGATAGGATGACTCGTATGAACGTATGTTTTGGTCACCGGAAAATATGGGAGCGCAGCTACTGACGCTGCTGCCGCTGCCTTGTGGATCAGACTGCAGAAGTTCAAAGAAAGGGGGGTTGCTGTTAATATAATCACCTGCTTCTCTCTGAGTGTCCGGCGAGTATCTCTGTCCTCGTACTAGCTATGAGATTTTGTTTGGCGCATCTGTTTGCGCCCATAATATATCAAGTTTCTGTTCTAATAGTGATAATAATAATTTGTGAGTTTAATGCCAATATCATCGTTGAGTGTGCTTCCTCACTGGTTGCGACTTCTCATTAGAACTAATTCCAGGCAATTTCGTTCTGTGTTCCCAGTTACTAGCAAAACATCAGATTGATTTTCATGAGTTAGTAAACCTACAGAGGTTGTCCTTGAGTGAGTTTGTAGGTTTAAATGCCACCCTAATTCCTGCTTTATTAAGAATCCTAGGTAGAGCCTCAGATGTCCCCTCCTTATATAGTATTACGGTGGATGACTTATATTCTCTCTTATCTGTGTTATCATTACTAGTTCTACAATTATTTTTATTTTGTTTTTGGCCTTTAGTGATCTTCCTAATGAATTTTATAGGATAGTTATTTAAAACCAACGCCTCTTCTATCTGCTTTATTTCATCATTTAGGTCTTTTTTGTGCTACTTAGTGCCATTGCTCGGTTTGTTAAACACTTAACTAAGCCTGCCTTAACAGTTAAAGGATGAGATGAATTAAAGTCTAAATATCTATTAGAATGCGTTGGTTTTCTATAAACACTAGTGTGTGTGTGTGTGTGTCCAGGGATTACTGGACAGCTGTTTCTTCTTAGTTTGAGACTCGAAAGATCGAACCTATGGGTTACGCGACTAGCTCGTTGTTCATTCAACTACAGCTACCGCCAATGTGTAAAAATTCATTAGCGCAAGCCCACGAATTCTTTCTAACCTCCACTCATTCTCTATTCAACATTCTCTGCTGTGATTGTCAATGGTTCTTTAACTGAACTGAAGTCAAATCATGTGATCAAACTTGAAAACACCTACTAATCAAGTGAGATTTCTATTGGTTTATAGACACACGTGTGGGAATTATCATATATGCGAAATAAGAACATGCCAGAGCATGTTATTCTTATTCTTATCATCATCATCATCATCATGACTACTGACTATTGATCATTTAGTCTAAATGGTGTGTCATTGTGTGAACATTTATGCATTCCCCCCTTCTTATTGTGTTCATTCATGTCCTCACACACAGAAGTGACAATGAGGTCAGCTAACAAATGGAAGTGTGTTGTATTGTGAATTTTAAAGAGTTTGTTACAGATTTCTTGTGTTGTTGGTGTTGTTGTTGATGATGGTGGTAGTGGTAGTGGTGTTATATGATGGTGAAAGGTGCAATCATCACATGTCCTTGTAGGTAGAGCTGTGAGCAGCGAAACACAGAAATATTAACGTTGACCTAAAGCCACTACTATATTGATTAGCTCAATATTCAATTCATTGTGGAGAGTATGGCTCTCTCTGATGTGAACCTAATATGAACATGAACCCTGATATGTGGCGACAGCATTGTTGTTGGTGGTGGTGGTGTTTTCTTCGACGTTGGACACAATTTTGAAACAACCATATTGATTAATTAATTAATTACAGTCACTACACACACCAAGGTGGGCCTGAAATCAATGTAGTTCGCTAGACCTCTCAAAACCTCAGCATCACATCAACCTCTGCCCCCCTACACACACACACACACGTAGTCCCACCTCAAACATCTATCGTCTCAGTTACTCACACAAGATCGATCGAGGTTCAAAGACGAAATTTTCATCATTACGCTGGCTTTATGGTACTTAACATTTCGTCAAATCTTGTCTGTATTAGTAACACCGGTGTCAAGGCTTCAGTGATGTAGGACACAAAGACGGTTTTAGCCAACAACAACAACACACACGCACATACAATGGCCATCCCCTGCAAGTCACCGCAGACGCCGTTCCTATTGAGCACCTAGCTGCCTTCCAAAAATGCATCAGTATTCGAACTCTACGTCCACCAGCAGGCGCTCCACCTGTTTCCCTAGCTAAATAGACTTTTGTCATGTGTTTCATCACTACAAGTTGATGCCAAATCCTCCCGTCTCGAAAAGCAAGATATTTTCAAACGAGCCGCGAACGCTCCAGGCCTTCCACTAAACAACAACACATCACTGCCTCAACGTCGACCAGCCAAGTACAGAGAATAATCGGGGAGGTTCTAAGTCTCTTCTAAAACGGGGAAGTTGATCTGTAGTCAGATGCATCACACATGTTCGCAGTGAGACTGTATCTAGGTCAGTAAGGATATTTTCGTTCACACCCATGCCCCCTTGACCAGGAAGTATCATTTCATGGTAATCTTCACTTTCTCAATACCATTGAGCTGACATATATCTGTATATATCACTGTGTTCTTTGGTAGACTCACTTCTTACTTTCTCGTGCGGATAAATTTACTCTTCATCTCATGCCGGCTTGTGTTCTGGCTTAAATAGAGCGAATTAGAGGGAAAAATGGGTAGCTGACGAATAATCTTGTGGACGACTTAGTTAAGCGATGTTCGAGGTCAGTGCGTCTAAGTTCAGCCTCGGCGTCTCCATTCTATTTCAACTGAATGTATTGTGAAACATGCATAATACTCTCATTGTCTTAAGCGCATGAATATGCATGCAGTCATTGGTTTCTGGGATTGGAATTTTGTTATTTCAGCCTATAAGAATCAACAGTATCGTCCATCAGCCTTCACATGATATATGTGGTTTATCTCTCCGTCTAACGGCTTTAAACTTAATTCTTCTAAATGTCAGACTGTTAATTTCAGTTTCCGATATAAACGAAAGTTAAATGAAGCCGTTGTTTCCTATTACCCTTGCAAAATCGATGATACTGATATAGAAAGTATCTTGGATTAATTCTCTCTTCTGACCTATCCTGGTCCTCTCATATCTTAGCGATTTCTAAAAGAATATTTCGTTTGACTTTTTACATTAAGAAGTTAAGGCACTCAGGCATAACTCAACCACTCCTCTTACAGTTTGTCAACTCGTGTATTTTACCTATTCTTCTTTACTGTTCACTCTTATTCTTTCCTGGATTGCTTAAAAAAGACTATGTCATACTTCGTAGAACTCTGAAGACTGTCAGTCAGTAGGGCGAGTGGTATCCAATTGGGCCATATCGTTGACATTGTCACTGATAGGCACTTGATGTCATGCAACAAATTCGCTAAAGGAATTTTGTCAGACTCTAAGCACCCACTCTACCCGCAGTTCCAACCTTGTGTCTCCTCGGGTAAAACAAGAAGTCTTTTCAGAAGAATTTATGCACGTACGTCTAAGTATAAAAATTCCACGATACCATATTTAGCACGTACTTTATGTGATGAAAATAGTGTCAGACATGAACTAACTAACCTTCTTAGCACCACTAAATAAACCATTTCCTTCACCGTTAAAGCGTCATACTTTATGGTTATTGTATTTCTTATATTTATAATCCTCTCAGTTTTTTGTTTTGCTTATTTTTTCGTAAGTGTGGACATCATTTAAGCTGTGTTATAACTGTTAATTTCGTATTTCCCCTCACCATGCTGCTATATCAACAGAACATAAGATCCAATAATCTATAACATGCTAAAATTTCCCAGCTGAATCGACAATACCGTTTGAAACAAACTCACTGTTATTATTATTTATTATTATTATTATCATTATTATTATTATATCTAATAATTATGTCGTATATGTGGACAAATTCCTCCGATTAATTTTGTTTTAGTTTTTAATTTTATATACACTTTGAGTAAATCAGATGCAATATTGTGACCAATACTGAGAATTCCATTCTGTACTATAATTACTGTTTTTGGAATAAAGTAGATTATTATTATTATTATTATTATTATTATTATTATTATTATTATTACATGATAAAGGTACTAACACTAATCAAATAGTGAATATGTTTCACTACTGTCAGAATAATTCACATAATATTTGTGTATTCACTTCTACTTCTAGTGTACATGTTCTGGTGTCGATGAAAACAACGAGGCAACATCACCATCATCATCATCATCCTCTACTGCTGCTGATCAGTTTGATTTTGGCAAATCTTTACAATATTTACTAGAAGCATTACATTTAAATAATCCGGTAAATACTGTTTCTATGGCTACATCAACAACACCAGTACATATCCCCAATGAAACAACAACATCTATGATAACACAGACAGAATTAATTCAAGGCGTTGATGTTGCAACATCAATTACTCTGCTAAATCAAACTATTGAAGGTAAATCCCTATGCATTATTTTCATTGTTATTTGAATGAATTATCTTTAATGACTAACGTTCCAATGTCAAACTAGGGGGACATCTTCAATGTTATTTATCATTATATATTTTTGTTTCTTTCTGATTGGAATATTGTGACTACTGTGTTCAGGTTTTTGCCATCACTTCCAAATGCGTATGCGTCTTCCCCTCCCCCTCAAAGCTATCTTATTTTTTCATCGCATTAATCTATGCTGTTTCATTCTTGGATACCCATCCAGTTACACACACGTAGAATAAATATTAGAATGTCCAGTAACACCGATGATCTTCCTGGTCGTGTTGATGGTGAACTGGATCATGTGATAAAAACCTTGTGGTTGGTAAAAAGTTGGGTGTATGTTGAATCGACCAAAAGACCATAATAGGTGATCTATACTTGATAAATGACTTATTCCTTGTGCCTCACAAAGTTGCCCCACCACCACCACCACCACTACGTCAAAGTAACAGCTGTCAAAATGTGATAAAGGAAATAATAATTCCTCTCCAACTTTTCTTTTTTAAAACTTTCAACTAATTTGATTTTACTCATGTTGTGTGATACGTCGGTGTGGTTCAGTGATACAGCTGTCCGCCAACTAAACACGTTGTCCAGGATTCAAATCCTGTCCGACGTCACTCGTAAACCTCGCCTAACCCCAGTAGTAAAACAGAGAAAGAGAGAACGTTGGGTCTGAGAGGCTATTGGGCATCTCCACTATTACTGAAACTGAAAGAAAGCTCAAAGTGTGAGGCCTTGTTTTTTAATGTGGTTGTGTTCTCCGAGTTGGATAGTTAATTTGAGAAGCTTTCATCACCCTACTAGGTGACATCTTCAGCGCATACTTCAACTTGAAGTGAAGTGAGCTTTTAGATTTCTCCACGAGTTTATTAATCATCTCTCCTGGCGACCTTGGACGTGATTGGTTGTTTTTGTGCGTTTTCACACCTTCTAGGTTGCTTGTATTGTCACTCATTGTTTCTTTGACTTGAACTTTGATCCTTTGTGTGTGAGGTTTCTTTCTTATCGGTTGATAAATTTTGTCAATCTCGATGTGTCTATTGATTGATGATTCACTGGAATACCAGGTAGGCTTCTAAAAATTCTCTAGCATTCTTGGTATTGTTTCCTTTGTCTAAAAAAATGGATATCCACGGAATTTCATCAAAAAGACATATACCCCTAAGCCAACCTATGAAACCAAATGCCCCCAAGGAAAGCACAAAGAAAGACGCCCTGCCATATATAAAGGATATATCAGAAATCACTGCAAGACTCGTCAAACCTTTAAGAATTGACGTCGCACACAAACCAACAAAATCACTTCACTCAGTTCTATGTCAACCAAAAGACTCAACAGCGAAGGAAGATAAAACCAACATCATCATCTACAAGATAAATTGTAGCAACTGCGAAAAACACTACATTGGTCAAAGTGGACGTCCCCTTCGTCTTCGTATCCACGAACATAAGCTAACCGTCAAAAGTCATGACATCCACTCCCTCATATCACTATATACAGACAACCAGGGGCATCAATTCGATTGGGACAATGTTCAAATATTAGACATAGGAAACAATACCAAGAATGCTAGAGAATTTTTAGAAGCCTACCTGGTATTCCAGTGAATCATCAATCAATAGACACATCGAGATTGACAAAATTTATCAAGCGATAAGAAAGAAACCTCACACACACAAAGGGTCAAAGTTCAAGTCAAAGAAACAATCAGTTCCAATACAAGTAGCCACCTAGAAGGTGTGAAAACGCACAAAAACAACCAATCACGTCCAAGGTCGCCAGGAGAGATGATTAATAAACTCGTGGAGAAATCTAAAAGCTCACTTCACTTCAAGTTGAAGTATGCGCTGAAGATGTCACCTAGTAGGGCGATGAAAGCTTCGCAAATTAACTATCCAGCTAGCTCAGAGAACACAACCACATCAAAGTCATCCACCTGAGCTACAAATCTTCTCCGTCATATCTAAATTGAGGCCTTGTGTGTTGCACTCGGAACACAAACGACTAAAATTAAATGAAGATTAGTATGTTATGCGTAGCTTCCTCCCCCCCCACTCTGTGTGTGTGCTTTCCACATTGATTTTTTTGCTTCTTCCTTTGATGATACAATCATTCGTTTTGTGCATGATATATGCTAATATACGTGTTTAGATCTTATTTTACCTCTAATTGATTAATAGTTCACATACACACACACACACGTCCAGTGGCACACAGGTACAACCACACATTACGAAACCAAGACAAGTAAACCTGTAAAATGTTAATCCACAATAATTCTGCCCATATATATATATACATATATATGTATTTCTTTGACACCTTTCACCTTGAAAATGTATAAGGTCAATGTTATGTTCTGTTATACGTCATCGATTAATATGCAAGACCTGAAACCGTTCATCAGGATATGAAAGTTAGGTGATCACCGTAGTATTTGATCATAAGTGTCTAGTTAGTGTTCTATCTCTCACATTAGGCGGTATAATATGATGTGAAATAATAATAGGGAAGATTTGTAGCTCAGGTGGATGGATGATTTGCAATTAATAGTGTTCTCTGGGCTGGTTGGTTTAGTTGCGGAGCCCATATCAGGATTAATAGCTGAAGCGGCGTTAAGCAAAGATTAAAATTAATAGCTCTACCTATAATTAAACCGAAAATCTGGACAGGTACGTTACGTTGATGATACATTTGTAATAATTAAGAGAAATCATTTAGAATATACCCGTAAATTAATAAACAACATATTTGAAGACATCAAATTCACCACGAGAGTAAAAGAATTAGATGACAAAATCCCATTTTTGGATGTCTTAATCAGGAGAACCAACACAGGAGATTTAGAAACACAGGTATATAGAAAATCAACGCACGCAGATCAAATACTCAACTATACTAGCAATAATCCAATTACTTACTCACAAACGAAACTGTGCGCAGACATTGTTCACAAGAGAGTTCAAACACACATTGTAGCACTCCAGAGTTGAAAAGAATGGAAGACAAAATACCTACAAACGGTCTTCAAAAAGAATGGTTATCCACAAAATTTCATCAAAAAAAGTGTTTAAAGTCGAATCAAAACACCAACAAAGAAACATCATCAAAGACCACAAGAAAATTCATCCTACCATACCTTAGTAATATCTCGAAAATGCTAAAACCGTTTGATATAGATATAGCACACAAGCCGGTGAAATCGCTTAATTCGATATTGTGTAAATCGAAAGATCCAACAGAAAAAGGAGATAAAATTAATACCATTTACAAAATTGACTGTATGAACTGCAACAAGCATCACATCGGCCAAAGTGGGTGTTCTTTTAGAATCAGAATCCAGGATCATAAATCAGCCATGAAAAGACACGATATGTATTCTTTAGTATCATTGCATATAGACAATTATGGTCATCAATTTGATTGGGATAATGTCAAAATCTTAGACGGAGGAAACAGCACCAAAAGTGCAGTCAGGGAATTCCTAGAAGCCTGGTACTCAGACGAAAATGCAATTAACAAACACGTTAATATGGACGAAATATGCCAACTAATAAAAAGTAAATCAGGTGACCAGAAAGTTTAAAATCCAAGTCAATAGAAAATGTTCAATACATATGTTGTAAAGATGGTTACCGGGAGACGTACGAAATTCTATCACTCATGAAGAAATTTAAATCATTTCTTTTTGTGCTAAATATTGCGCTGAATGGGGATGTTGTCCAGCAGGGGGACGACGAAAGCTCCACAATTAAACCAACCAGCTCAGAGAACATTATTAATTGCAAATATGATGTGAGTAATAGTGAGGTTAGGCGTGTAGATTGTTACGTGTTTATTGTGAGCGAGAGAGAGTCAACCGACGGGGTTGTAGAGTTTTATATTGATTCAGACGATTAGGAAATGGGATAGGCATATAGGGAGCAATGTTAGCTCATATAGATAGATTACGTTAGAGGAGAGAAACAAAATAACAGTTACGAGTGGTCAAACCCAAAGCATAACATCCCATGTGTATGATTTTGAGGTCTTCGACTGTGTTGGTTTGTGAAACATCGAGGAAGAGAGAGTGGATTTTACAGAGTTCTTGACTTAGAGGTCTTCGAGTAGCTAAGATCCAATAGCTGAATGAAGAGTATTGGTGATATTCGCCTTGAAATCGTATGTGTGATTACCCAAATTCACAGAATCTCTGTTTTATTTATTTCCCGTGCATTTTATTTATTTATTTTCATGATAGATCCTTCATATTTCTTTCCTTAACCTCTTTTTCTACCTTTATATGTATGTGCGTGGGTGTTGTCATATGAACTGCAGTTGTTGTTGTGGTGGTGGTGGTTTTTGCACTTTTGTACAAAATTCTAAACGTTGAAAATTTAGTTCAATTCAATTCTGCAACACTTGACTTACTTAGGCCTAAATTTGAAGATAAATCTGATTGGTTAGTGTATTTGTGCACACATGTGCGCGTGGGCGTGAGTGTACATATAACCTGTTTATTTCAATTTGCCTATAGGTCAAATCAATACATCATCACAGTTGTTAGTTAGTTAGTTAGTTAATTAACACCTCTTCCTTCTTTTTATTTTATTTTATTTTTTTTCTGAAAAATCTTCAGGTAAATATTAAAGGTTGACTATCATCTATGCATCAGCGTGATGATGTAAGCCGAGCTAATATTAAAACATCCTAACGATAGCTCCGTTTACTTTGACGTGGTGTTGGTAGTGGTCAGACTTGCATATTGCCAACCACTCAAAAAGAAATACACTAGCTGAAACTAATGTCCTTGTAAAAGTGCTAGCACATCAGAAAGGTCTTGTGGTTAGCAATTGGACTAAAAACCAATTACTGTCATCATAGTGTGTAGGTCACTTACACACACACACACACTGTGTTGGAGAGGGGTCTCTGGACGATGTCGTACTCCTGGCCCTCAGATGAACTGGCACAAACGAGCTAGCTGTATGTATTGCCTCTCCAATCTGGAAAGCGGTGGGGTTTACGACAGGATGGGCATCGAAAATTGTACCTCCCGGCTTCCATTGTGGTGGATCGTAACCAGCAGTGTAGAATTATAATACGGATGCGACTTAAACTCATCATAATTTACCGGCCCCAACTAGTCCTTCCTGAGGTTACAGGAAGCTGATGCTCCTTTAAGTTCCCTCCCCCCAAAAAATCAACTTCTACACTGTCTGTCTGTCCGGATTCAACGTAGAACTTGGCACCGAAGTGCAGGAGTTCGAGTTGCCACCTTCCAAATACCACACAAAGGTAGACAAGAAAATGAGTGAAAAGAATCAATAGAGTTTTGATAAGAGTGACAAGAGTGAAACAGAATGAATGAGCAATGGTAGAAAGGAATATGAAAGATTACAGAGACTACTGAATACATCTGCGTAAGCCATTGACAACGATGAGTTTGAGCCATGTCACCTATTGTCTGTCTCCAGCCTTCATTGATTCTTAGAGTTTGGAGGGCGGGCCGGGCCTCAACCCGGAAGTCTGAATCTCCCTCCCTACCTGACTGACTCGGTTTAACTGTCAAGGATTTCATGGATTGATGAGGCCATGTTTTTGTTTGGCCACGACTTACTCTTTTCCAACCTGCATTTACCTATATCAGCTAGTAATGCCCGTCCGTCGGTGTGGGGGAGGCGATGGTTAGGCACGCGCAGCACGTGACCTAACCATCTCAATCTATGTAACTTTATAGCCTCGTCGATTGATTTTGCCTCTTCGCCCAACACTCTACGCCTAACCTAACGTTAACATTACTTACCACCTTATTATACCACCTGCTAACGTGAGAAAGAGATCGTAGACATCTATGATCAAAAACAGTCAACCTTTTCATGTTCTCTTTAACTCGTATTGGCCATGTTTCAGAGCCATAGAGAAGGACGGAGCGAACTGGTGAGCAGTACACACGTCCCTTGGTTGATAGCCGGATGTCACGCCTACTCCAGAGACGGTGTAAGTTAGCGAAAGCAGCTCGAGCTTTTTGGATCCGTGCTGAGATTTCGTCGCCAATCAGTCAAATCTGTAGGGCAGGTACGTTGTAGGCAGCCGGGAAGTGATAAGTGCCGATGCACTTCCAAAAGCATCCCAAGCTCTCATGAATAACATCCGCCTTCACGTATATATATATATATATATATATATATATATATATATATATACGAAGATAAGTAGTTAAAGACTTGGTGAATCAGTTTCTTATCGTCTGTTTTATCACAATTCAGGATTTTTCTGTTTGTAGTCGAATTCTTGGTCTTATTAAGGTATTAAACGTTTATCGTCAATGTATATATAGACTGACTGAGTTGAGCTTAGCTTAGCTTTGAACATAAAACTCAGAGGTAAAGTGTAGAACACAGTTAATTGTCGTCAAACTCCATTTATACATAGTGCACAATGTTAGAAGAGAATAAAAGAGAATACAATCAGCAGCATAAAAACACATTAAAAAATGATTATTAATAATTGAACGCCTAATGGATCTCAGCGTTCACAAAGAATGAATGAATGGATCTCCATCATTTATAGCAATTTAGAGCTATGTGACTAACAGTCTCCAGCTATTAGCTATTAGTTATTACGGTCTCGAAGACCCTAGACAGCCAGTCAATCTGCACTTCCCTACCTGTGTGCAAGTGTGAAGGAGAATAAATTAGAAGTGGATGGCCGTGGCAAACGCCGGTTCCTATCCGATCACTGGAGTTTTGTGACATCAGGCTCTGTGTGTGGTATGCCTTGCAAGGGGAACTGGATGTAAATAACATGTGGGGGTGGTCTAGTGATTAGGATTTCTGGCGTTCCTGTAGGTCCTAGCCATGCTATAGAGGTCACTGTTCGACTCCTGAAACTTCACCTAGTCTGTAGTAAGTGCAGAAAAGAAGTAGAGTCTAGATATGAGTCTAGCAGACCCTATTCCGTAAAAAACAATACCACTGGAAATAAGACTTCAAAGTTCAAAGCTTGAATACAATGTCTGTAAGTATGGTATGTGCTTTGCACCGTTTAAGTGCAAAGTACTGTTACAAGATTGACAGGAGCCTGTACCTGCACTCACTCTTGCGAGTGAACTGCTTGAAGTTGTTGATAAATTTGTGTATCTGGGTAGTTGTGTGATTGCTGGCAGAGGAGTGACGAATGAGATTTTCAACCGTATAATGAAGACTAGGGTGGCATACATCAACTTGAGCCACCTGTGGCGCCATCACGACGTTAGCCTGGCTGTCAAAGTTGGTCGGGTATACAATGCTTCGGTGTGGGTTGTCTTGCTCTACGCCTGTGAAACCTGGCGTATCCGAGCTGAGGATGTGAGGCGACTCTGCGTGTTCAATCATCGCTGTCTCCATAGGGTTCCTTGCGTTCGATGGCATCATCACGTGAGTCATTCTGAGGTTCGGTGGCGTGTGTTTGAACACAGTGGAGATCACCATTTATTGAGTGTCGTCATCTGGAAACACCGGCTCCAGTGGCTTGGACATGTGCGTCGAATGTCATCCCAGAGGTCTCCGTACAGGCCTCTGTTCGCTAGCCAGCCCTGGGCTGGGATGGAAAAGGCGGAGGGGTGATCAGTCCATGACGTGGCGTCGAGGGATGAAGGATATTTGTGTGTTAGGTTAGCATCTGATGGTGTGTCACAGTTTCCTGGTTGGAGTCCGCGAGATAGCTCGAATCGATGGCTCGAAACGTTATCGGATATGGCCAAGAATCGTAATCAATGGCGAACGTGTTGCAATTTCCTTCTTTCTTCCCTTCCTGATGATAGTTAACGAATACTGTTTGAACTTGTTAAACATGACTGTTTTCCTTCCAGATGAAGTTCTTTATCCGTTCTGTATTTATATTTTTTATTTTTAATCTATGTTGTTTAATTATTATTGTGTGGCGCATCTTTCTTGGTGCCATATTGTGTCAAATTTTTTTTGCGTTTAAATAAATATTTTTAACTCATAGAATGAGAGAAAAACTAATGGCTCATTGGTGTTTAGATATTCAACATGTTCAACAACACTTTCGTTCACGAGTTCCGACCTCGATTACATTCATTCCTTGCGATCTGAGTTGAAGCATAAGACATATCAACTATACTTTCGTATTGCATTCGATTCACAAATATTTACTTTCGATTTACCCCAAAATTGCCCACAAGTGTTGTCACACTGTCAGTGTCATTCAGTCTTTCTTTATACCGCCATTGGAAGCCTAATTCTTCTTCACTTCGCATTCTACTTCCAACCAATCACTTGATTGTCCCTGAAATAATAATGGAGCTAGCTCCGCCGTCTGTGCCAAATGTCCATAGTAGTGACTCTGTTTACTAACCGTTTCAATTTTTTTGTTTTTGTATTTGTGCTTTTTTCATCTCCGTTTCAATTCACTGATAGCTGACGTCTTATTCTTGTCTTGTTTGTATTTTTCCCTTTGTTCTATATAGATTGTAATTCTGAAGGTGGAAAAATATCAACATGCGTAAGTATATATTAAAAAATTCAATTGTATTTTTTTTGCATCCTTTTATCATGAAATCTCTACAGGTTAACTCTTGAAAAAATTAACCTGATACTACTCACTAGTGACTAACTAACTGACTAACTCTACAGAACGAAGTTGCCGCCTGGAGTGATTTTTTTAGTGAGAAGTTTTGATCAGTCGAGGGCGGAGGGGGGGGCTCCATCCTGTTGGCGTTCGTGGCACAGGTCTCTTTGGTGGACGTAGAGTTCGAATACTGATGCATTTTTGGCAGGTAGGCAGGTGCTCAATGGGAACGGCGTGCCTGTGGTGACTTGTAGAGGATGACCATTGTGTGTGTGTGTGTGTGTGCTGTTGTTGTTGGCTAAAACCATCTTTATGTCCAACATTATTCAGTCCCAGAAACCAATGACTGCATGCATATTCATGCGCTTAAGACAATGAGAGTATTATGTATGTTTCACAATACATTCAGTTGAAATAGAATGGAGACGCAGAGGCTGGGACTTAGACGCACTGACCTCGAACATCGCCTAACTATGCGTCCCCAAGATTATTCGTCAGCTACCCATTTTTCCCTCTAGTTCACCCTATTTATGCCAGAACACAACGGCATGAGATGAAGAGTAAATTTATCCGCACGCGAAAGTAAGAAGTGAGTCAACCAAAGACGACAGTGATATATATTTATATATATGTCAGGTCGATGGTATTGAGAGAGTGAGGATAACCATTAAATCGCTACTTCCTGGTCAAGGGGGCATGAGTGTGAACAAAAATATCCTTACTGACCTAGATATAGTCTCACTGTAAACATGTGGTGCATCTGACTACAGGTCAGCTTCCTCGTTTTAGAAGAGACTTAGAAGTGCGCCGACTACTCTCTGTACTTGGCTGGTCGACGTTGAGGGAGTGATCTGTTGTTGTCTAGTGGAAGGCCTGGAGCGTTCGTGGCTCGTTTGAAAATATCTTGCTTTTCCAGACGGGGGAGGGGTTTGGCATCAACTTGTAGTGATGAAACACATGACACAGGTCTCTTTGGCTTGGAAACAGGTGTAGCGCCATCTCATGGACGTAGAATTCGAATACTGATGCATTTTTGACAAGCAGGTAGGTGTTCAATGGGAACGGGGTCTGCGGTGACTTGTAGAGGATGACCATTGAGTGTGTGTGTTGTTGTTTTGGCTAAAACCATTTTTGTGTCCAACATTATTGAGGTCTTAGCACAGGTGTTACTTATACAGACAAGATTTGACGAAATGTCAAGTACCATAAAGCCATCCCGATGGTGAAGATTCCATCATTTGACCTCGATTGGTATTGTGTGAGTAACTGAGACGTCGGATGTTTGAGGTGGGACTACGGGTGTGTACGTGTGTGTGTGTAGGAGGGCAGAGGTTGATGTGATGCTGAGGTTTTGAGAGGTCTAGCGAACTACATTGATTTCAGGACCACCTTGGTGTGTGTAGTGACTGTAATTAATTAATTAATTAATATGGTTGTTTCAAAATTGTTTCCAACGTCGAAGAAAACACCACCAACAACAGCAATGCTGTTGCCACATATCAGGGTTCATATTAGGTTCACATCAGAGAGAGCCATACTCTCCACAATGAATAATATTGAGCTAATTAATATAGTAGCGGCTTTAGGTCACCGTTAACATTTCTGTGTTTCGCTGCTCACAGCTCTACTACAAGGCCATGTGATTGCACCTTTCACCATAATATAACACCACCACCACCTCCACCATCAACAATAACAACAACAACACAAGAAATCTGTAAAAAAGACTCTTTAAAATTCACAATACAACACACTTCCATTTGTTAGCTGACCTCATTCTCACTTGTGTGTGTGTGAGGACATTAATGAACACAATAAGAAGGGAATGTATAAATGTTCATAGAATAACACCACTTAGACTAAATGGTCAATAGTCAGTAGTCATGATGATGATGATGATGATGATAATGAAGATAATAACATGTTCTGGCATGTCCTTATTTCGTATATTATGATAATTCCCGCGTATCTTTTTTTAAAAATCAATATAAATCTCATAATACCACACATTTCTTTCTACAGGAGATTGTTATGAAATAGGTTGCTCTAGCCAATTCTGAATCATGCAACGGGAAGCGTATTCAAGCCGTAGTTTCTAATGTCTTAATGACTATAATGGAAATTCGTTTCTTCCATGCGTATATAAATATATGTGTATGTGCGTCGGTGGCATGGCGGTTAGGGCGCTCGCCGACCATGCACATGGTCCGGGTTTTGATCCCCGGCCACAGACGCTCTCCTTTACCTCGCTAAGCCAGAAATAAAGCTGGTGAAGAGGAAAGGTTGGGCATGAGGCTGGCTAGCAACAAGATCCTGTAAAATAAACACTGCTACAGAAACTTCAAGCCGCAAGCTTGAAGCCCTATGTTCCACTAGGGAACGTGATGAAATCTATCGTGAAAAGCAATCAAATTCTTGCTAGTTGATAGACAGACAGGAATCAACAATTATTGATTGTCATATGTTCAGTGATAGAATGTGCTCACTAGCCGCCACACATGGATGTGGCGAAACCGGTTGTAATTCCTGCCTCCCCACCCACTGACTCTAAAACCCCGCCTAGCTTACCAACCTGTTGTTAAGTGCTGGCTATAAACACCACCGCTACTCTAACTTCAAATATTGGATCACGATATTCCACTCGGAAAGCAGAAGTTGGAATTTATTTTCCATTGAATTGCGCCCAAGTGGCTTGATGGGCGTTCATTCAAACTGCAGTGGGCACATTCCACTGAAGGGTTCTAGACTAGAATGAAGCAGCTGTCCAGTACTCCCTGGACTTATATATATATATACGCAAACGTCTGCAAGTTTCATCGCCGATTGGCATCAATTAGACAAGCATTGCAGACCAACAACTCCTGGATTCTTCTTGGGAGTACTCTTGGGCAGTACTCACTTGCTGCACACACCTGCCGGTCGGTCGGTTTTCGACATAGAACTTTGCACATATGTGCGCCAGTTCAAGTCGCCACACTCCCTCCATGTACCACACAAAGAAAGAGAAGAAAGTAGGAGAAATGCATATTAGAGAGAGACAGTAAACACAGGTGTGACACAAAGGAATAGTAATAACGAAGAACAAAACAGTTTCATTGGAAATCATAAGTCAGCCACAAGGAGTGGATGCATCTGCACCAGCCAGCCATTGAGAACGATCACTTTGAGCTAGCCATGTCACCAATTGTTTCCAGCCTTCATTGGATTTTACCGTCCCGAGGACCCCAACCAGTCAGTCAGGAAGTCTACACCTTCCTACGTGGCTGGCCTAGACTAACTGTTGTAGATTTGATTGACTGGTGAAGCCATGTTTTGGTTTGACTGCCACTAGCTAACTCTTTTCCAGCCAGATCCATCCTATATCAGCTAACATTGCCCATTGTCGAGGAGGGCGATGACTAAGCATCCATGAGTAACACATGTCCTAACCATCTCAGTCGATGTAATTTCACAGCCTCGTCGATTGATTTCCAATTCCTCCTTACCAACTAGCACTCGACCGATGGCCTAACCTCAGTATTGCTCACCTTATTAGACCACTTCACAAGGGAGATAGAACGCTGACACCTATGGTCAAAGACAACTAGCCACACTTTTCAAGTCTTCCGCTCTCAATGGCCAGGTCTCGCTCACAGCCATAAAGGAGGACAGAGCGGACTGATGAGCAGTACACACGCCCTTTGGTCGATAGTCGGATATCACGTCTACGCCAGAGATGGCGTTAAATGGCATATGTGAAACTAGCCCTCTGTATTCGTACTGAGATTTCGTCACACACATCTGCCACATAGGACTTTTACGCTACTCTGCGACGCCTTCGACCATTCAGTCACTGAGAAATATTCCAGGGGTGAACTTGTTCCTTGATTGATTGATTTTGATTCATTTTTCTAATGATGAACTTATTTTGTTGTCAACTTGAATAAATGAATAATCTATGTGTGGTGTTTCTGTTTCTGTGTAGATTTCATCTTCCTCAAGTACTACTGTACCGTGTGTCTGTGATTCTGCTGCTGCTGCTAGCAGCAAGATGAAGGAAACCACTAGTGGTGGTGGCGGCGTTGATATTCACACTACAGACGATTCAAGTAGTTCTAATTACCTAACTGTCTCATCGTATAATAATAATAATGACAACAACAGTAATAATTATAATTCGTCATCATCACGTAATATTTCTTCTGCATCGACTTCTGCTGCTTCTCGTTGTACCTCGCCTACCTCATTGTCTCCTGTCCCACTATTACAACAACAAGAACAGTTGGCTAATACATCCAGCAGTGATAATACTAATAATAATATTGCGACTAGCGGTAATAAGCATAAATCGAATAATGCTTTGGAGACTTCCACTTGTAATTTATCGGGTATTTCTAAAAAGTCTGCTGAACGCTATACTAGTTTTGTACATTCAAAGTAAGTTTTTTTATTTTTGTTATTGTCGTTGTTTTTTTCTTTACCTTATCCTCAGTTTTGTCACCTTTACTTTATTTCAGGATGCGCATTTCGTCCTATTTGGGACTCGTCAGCTAACTGGATGCACCTGCATTCCCCAGTTTAGTGATGATGTTCCCACCGAGGCTTGGACCCAGTGTCCATAGTTTCAAACGTCAAGGCGTAATCTCCACTAGACCACTTGGCCCACGACAGCCACCTCTTGTGCAACGGGCCACATTAATTATTTCATTGAATTTTAGATATTCCCATCGATTGATTGGACTGTGAAGTGCTTGGTCTCACGTTGACGTGTTGACTTCTTGTGCAGATGCTTCGACGATGTATGGGCAAGCCTCGGTAGGAGCAGCATCATCACTCACTGCGGAATGCAGGTGCATCCAGTTAGCTGACGAGTCACAAATAGCTCGAAATGCCCGTTTTCCTGAATCCCACTGCTAGTCACCATCCACCAATTAACTTCTAATTACATGCCTAGACATTATCGAAGTATCTGCACAAGAAACCGACAGGTCAACCTGAGACCGAGCACTTAATAATAATAATAATTTGCTTTATTCCAGAAACAGTGCTAGTGCTACAGTGTGGAATTTTCAGCACATATCTACAATATTTGCACCTAATTTTACCAAACATTTAAAAGGAGTATTTCAAAAAATAAATATAAAGACAACAGCAAAAAAAACACGATAAGCACAAAAATAATTCTAAAAAATGCGAAAAAAATACCAAGAAGTAGAAAGGAAAATAAACAACATAACGAATAATATCTCAGCATTGGGTAGTGGAAGCTATGATATGATCATGCATGGTGTCAGTAAACCTGTAGTCATACAAGAAGTTATGAAATGATATTTAAGAATGTTTATCGCCAAGATGATCAGTTTATTTGATTGAAACAACTCTAAACATTCATAAAATAACATTTCAGGGTTGTTGTTTTGTTTTTTATTGTCAGGTCAGATGCAGTTTTTGTACTATTGATGAGTCCCAAGCTAGGCTAAGGAAACAGCTGTCCAGTACTCCCTGTTGACTTTCAATGATTTTCTTACTTATATCAAACAAATCAAATCCACCCTAGAAACTAAATCTTGAAACGCAGATGACCCAAACGGATAGAATTTCCTTATGATTTATACTACTGATTAATTAATATGAGTAGTTGGAAGCCACTGCCTGAAACATAGATGGAAGTGAACTAAACATCACCTGACTGCATGCCTCTTCTCTCACCATTGAAAGCTTTACTCATCCGCAGTGTATTTTGATCTGACATTAGTAACTAGTGTGATCTGTCTAGTCCTCTCTTTGGTGCAGACTGAATTCTATCAGTCAGGTTGTAATGTGGCCACCATGCCACTAGGTAGCTCGCCATCACGGTGCACATTGATTTGATGATATTAGATGGTTGGAGGCAATCGGCCACAGGAAGCCTTGCCTGATCTAGGTTTCGTGGTAGTTGGTACTCGTCAGCAAGGCGTATCTGCGACCTTGAAGGAACTGATGTCCCTTCTGAGATTCGAACCCGCGTCACATAGCCCACTGTATCCCTTGAACTGACGCTGACGGAGGATAGAATTTGCAGGCCATCCACCAAACGGCAACGTAAGTGCCTGAGTGGTCATCGAGTTTACTTTCGTAACTTTGAAGGTTCCGGATTCTATCTCTTGTGGGAGGAGTCACTGGCACATACTACCGAAGGGTTTGAAACATCAGGGTGAAATAGTTGTTGTTCATTGCTTCCTGGTTTTCAATGATTTCTCTAGCTGATATTGTTTAAATCGTTACGAAATCTACAAAAGAGGTTGATACAAACCCCGACAAAACCAAATTATCTTCTGCCTATTTGTTTTGTTTTGTTTCTTTTCTGCCTAGTTTTGCACCGAATGATATTGTAATCTTTGTGCCAGTTCAAGGATCGAAACCAAATACTTCAGGATTATGTACTACTGGTGCTACTGCTACTACTACCACGACGACGGCTACTGATACCACTTCCAGCGATGCTGACAGTTCAATGACAACAACAGCGACGATGGCGAGTAATATCACACCTACAACCAGTTGTATTCTATCACAACAAAACACCAACAATCCTAATAACAACAATAATAATGACTTAACAAATATAACAAAATCTGATATATGGTCTGTCACCAGTGGGAAACTTTCCGTAAATCTACTCGATGTGATTTCACCTTCATCTAGCTTATTATCTTCAATGATTGTTCAATCATCTTTACCCTTGTGTTCATCAATATTTGGAACAAGCAGTGGTAGTGGTAGTGGTGGTGGTAGTACCGGCACAACAACTACAACACTGGCTGCTGGTACTGCTACGTCGACGACTCAACAACAACAACAAAGACAATGCATAAAAGTGCCTATCCACTAAATAGTAATACTGCTTTAGCGAATGAATTCTATTCATCAAGTGCATTGTTAGGCGGGGAGGTATTTTTACCAACTGTGAATGCTACTATTACTACTACTACTAATACCAGTGCAACAACAACAACACTGGGAACAGGAGAATTACCGCTATCAGCGCCATCATCACCGCCAATGTCATCAACAACAACAACTGCTACTACTACTGGCGGACCACATATTCAATGGCGTATGTTATCCTCTGATGGACATGTCTACTTTTTACATCAAGATGACTTTAAAGCCTTGAATATTGATGAGAATACTGACTATTGTCAACCGATCAGCTCTAATCTACAAGAAACAAGTAAGTATTGATTTTGAGGAATATCCCCTCACCCACCAATCAACCCACCCCCCACCCCGAATACATCCATAATTTATTTAGAACAAGTATAATTAGAGCCGTGCGTCGGTGGCACAGCGGTTAGGACGCTCGCCGACTATGCATGTGGTACGGAGTTCGGTCCCCCGGCCACAGACGCACTCCTTTACCTCGCTAAGCTAACAATAAAAAGCTGGTAAAGAGGAATGGTTGGGCATGAGGCTAGCTAGCAACCCCATCCTGTAAAAATAAAGACCACTGCTGCAGAAACTTCAAGCCTCTAGCGCTTGAAGCCCTATGTTCCAGCACTAGGAACGTGAAGGAATAAAAAAAATAATAATTAAAGCCAACGATTATTTTGATGTCATTCGATGGAAGATGATTTGTAGTAGAATCCAGTGGTTGCTCTCGTCGATGATGAAATGACTCAGTGGATAAAAGGAACGCTTTTGATGTCTTGAAACGATGCGTACTGATGACTGGGTTCGAGTCAGCACTGAGAATGCAAGTATACTCTCACAGCTGAGACGAGTTCCAGGATCCCAGTCCTGGCGCACCATTAACCCCGAATTACTTCTAGTCAATAATCCCTCAGACATAGCATTGAAGGGTTCGAACTAGGTGGTGTGTTGACATGTCATCAGAGGCGCCGAACATTTTGGTCCAATCAATCAGTTAATGTGGGAAATCGACTTGAAAACAATGAATTATTATTTTTTTTCAATAAATTCTTTGTCTTCTTCAGGCGCTACTACAATCAATATCCTAGCCATAGTGATAATAACAATAATATTGATAACGATAATAATAGTGATAATAACAGTGATAATAATAATAATTAGTGACGACACCAACAATAAGGAATCTAAATCATCAGTAGTAATTCCATACAAGGAAGGAACCTCGGAAGCCTTACGCAGAATTCCTAACAAGGCAGGAATGAAAATGGCTGCTGGCATTCAAACCAACCACAAACTCAATTAGAAACAAGCTTTGTCGGTTAAAGGATCCTGCTGTAGAGCCTTTAAACAATTCAGTTTATCTAATACCCTGCTGGAATGATTGTCAGGTCAAATACATGGGTCAAACTAGTAGAACAGGGACAGTCAGACTAGCTGAACATAAAAACCTAGCAAAATCTGGATTAGTTGACCTTAGTAAGATAAGAAGTCTAGAGAATAGTGCAGCCATAACACTCACTACATGTGATTACACACTACCATACAATAGGATAGGATGGGATAAGATGACAGTTTTAAAATCTAATGTCACAGGGTGGAGGGAGAGATTGATAACAGAAGCTTTGTATATCGAATCAACTGAGGAGAATACGTGTAATAGGAATGATTCAATACCTGTTCACCCAGATTTCTGGAAAATTCTACTACCCCGACGACGACAAATAGGAGAAAACAAAGAAAACTATAAAACTCAAGTGTCAAAGTCGTGTGATTACAATTGATATGATTATGAACAATAATTAATTTTGTTCGAAACTGTGTCATCCAGTAAACAGTAATACTGTTTCACTGTGTGATATATCTAATAAACAAACTAATATGGAATTACTGCTACCTAGTTGTCCAAGCTGAAATCGGAATAAATTCAGGGACCTAATTTAACCCCTGGACCTCCACTGCCCGTACAAGTCGAATATGTAAAGCAATAGACCCCCACACGTCTTTATATATACTGTCAGTTACCTAGTCTTTTTCTTATTTTACTATTAAACTCTTATAGGTTCTACTCAGAATAAAAATCAATCCTTTAAAGAAGCCTTTCCAGCTCATAATCATTTCATTGTTGCAAGATATCAAAGTAAACAACGATGTTTATCTAAAAAGGTATGTGGGTGATTTTCTTTTTCTCATGGCTATCGCGTTTCTCTTGGTGTGTTTGTTTTTCCGTGTGTGCCTCCTCGTTGAAAATAGTTTGTATATGGTGTCGACGCCGGTTGTGACTCAGTTCTCAGCTGGGAGAAGATTATCAAATATAATGTAGATGGCTTATCTAATATATTGGTAAGAATAATAGTGTGAAGTGATATAATAAGGTGAGCAATATTGACGTTAGGCCATCGGTCGAGTGCTAGGTAAGGAGGAATTGGAAATCAATCGATGAGACTGTGAAATTACATCGACTGAGATGGTTAGGACATGTGTTACGTACGTATACCTAGTCATCGCCTTCCTCGACAATGGCCAATGTTAGCTGATATAGGGTCAGGCTGGAAAAGAGCTAGCGGTGGTCAAACGAAAACATGTCACCAGTCAATGAAATAAATCTACAACAGTTAGTCTAAGCCAGCCACGTAGGAAGGTGTAGACTGGCTTCCTGACTGGTTGTGGTCCTCGGGACGGTGAAAACCAATGAAGGCTGGAAACAATTGGTGACATGGCTAGCTCAAAGTGATCGTTCTCAATGGCTGACTGGTGCAGATGCATCCACTCCTTGTGACTGACTGACTTATGATTTCCAATGAAACTGTTTTGTTCTTCGTTATTACTATTCCTTTGTCTCACACCTCTGTTTACTGTCTCTAGTATGCATTTCACCTACTTTCTTCTCTTTCTTTGTGTGGTACATGGAGGGAGTGTGTCGACTTGAACTGGTGCACATATGTGCAAAGTTCTATGTCGAAAACAGACAGACATAATAGTGTAGTAAACTGTAGTCGATAATACACGACTCAAGTATCATAGTGAGTGTGTATATTCTTACTCATGTTTTCTGCGGTTGTAAGACTGCAATTGTATATATATATATATATATATATATATATATATATATATATATATATATATATATAGGAAGAGGGTATTCGTGGTTACACCACACAAAATTCCTTGCTTTTTGTATGAGTGTTGTAGTACTGCCCGGACACCTAACCTAGAGAGCAGGTGGTTGTCTTAAGGGACTACCCTCCCTCTACTTCGATCTTTTGATTTAAAATCTGATCTACAAGACAGTGGAGCAGCCTCAGGAACTGTCATTTTCACATGGTTATCTATGACTAAAACGGGTTCATGCACACTCCATTCAGATTCTAGAGTCCTGTTTCTAGCGCACCCACTCTAGGTGAACCTGCGTGTCTGCTTGTAAGCGTCAGATGTTTGAATTCGCTCTTCTAAATTTTGTGAGGTACACTCTACAGTTATGTGAATACGGTGAATAGGGCTTACCTGGCAGAGGCTATGAACGGGTAGCAGCCACGTGAGAGAGCATTTAGAGAGGAAGACTGAAATGTACCCACACACTGGACTGTGCTAGTCGTGTGCTAGTGGGAGAAAAAATCAGAAGCACTGTACGATTTTACATGTCATCTCTGCTCAGGGACTATACAATATTTCTCTGTATCGTTTCAATTTTAGTATATGTACAGCTGAAGAGGATATACATTTATGTACACATAAATATTAGAAGTAGATTGGTGGATGTTGACTAACAGTGGAATCCACGACAACGCGCATTTCGTCCTATCTGGGACTCGTCAGCTGGATGTACCTGCATTCCCCAGTGAGTGATGATGTTCCCACCGAGGCTCGAACCCACTGCCTATAGTTTCAAACTCCAAAGTGTTATCCAGTAGACTATGAATACTGGGTTCGAGCCTCGGTGGGAACATCATCACTCACTGGGGAATGCAGGCACATCCAGATGACGAGTCCCAAATAGGACGAAATGCGCGTTCTCTTGGATTCCACTGCTAGTCACCACCATGCACCAATTAACTTCTGATTACATGGCCAGACATTGTCGAAGCATCTGCACAAGAAGCCGACATGTCATCCTGAGACCGAACACTTCGGTCGAATCAATCGAAGGGAAAATCTAAAATTGAATCAAATGCATATATATATGTTTGCGTAAGAAATAAATAAAACAAGTGCTTTTAACGTAGAAGAAGACGAGAGAAAAAGAAGAAGAACCCGATCAATAAATCAATAGGCAAATCAGCTGATAGTATAAAATAAGACAAAATCATGTTGACGTCACATGTGAAATGCTTGAAAACACAAAGGAAATAAATGTCAAACAAGCCAGCAGACGACAGGCAGGTATGCGCAGGCAAGCGAGTATGCAAACACACAAACAGACATACAGACAAACGAACAAACGAACGAACAAAGAAGGGGACATACAAATATGCGTATAAAAGCCAGGAAAATAAAGTAACAATGACGACACACAATCAATAAATTCAAGTGTGGAATTATAGAAGAAAGAGAAATAAGAGTTTGTAAAATTAACTTTATCAATTTTTCGGAGTATTCTATGCATACAAATGAGAGCGTATAGATAGGGTGGAAGACTGACTGACTAGTCTCAACGTAGAACTCTGCACAGATGTGCGTACCAGTTCCAGCTGCCATTCTCCATGCTCCATGCAGCACACAAAGCAAGAGAACAGAGACAATAAACACAAGTGTGAGTGAGAGAAAAAGAATAGTAATATGGAAGGACAATAAAGTTTCTTTATTGGATAAGACAAATGACAAATAGTGAAGGCATCTTCGTCAGGCATTCAGAACAGTGATTTTGAACCATATCACCAATTGTCTCCAGTCTTCACATTGGTTTTTACCGTCGTGAGGACCCCCGCTAACCAGTCAGTCAGGAAAGTCGTCTACACCTCTCTAGGTGGATGGCTAGCTGGCTGAAACTAACTGTTGTGGATTTCACTGACTGATGAAGCCATGTTTTCGTTGGACTACCACTAGCTGGCTGGATTCAACATAGAAATTGGCACCGAAGTGCACCAGTTCCAGTTGCCACCTACCAAATACCACACAAAGGTAGACAAGAAAATGAGTGAAGAGAATCAATAGAGTTTTGACAAGTATAAGAGTGAAATAGAATGAATGAGTAATGGTAGAGAGGAATATGAAAGATTACAAAGACTGAATACATCTGCGTAAGCCATCGACAGCGATTTTTAGCCATGTCACCTATTGTCTGTCTCCAGCCTTCATTGATTGATTCTTAGAGTCCCGAGGGCGGGCCGGGCCCCAACCCGGAAGTCTTCATCTCCCTCCCTACCTGACTGACTCAGTTTAACTGTCAAGGATTTCATGGATTGATGAGGCCATGTTTTTGTTTGGCCACCACTTACTCTTTTCCAACCTGCACTTGTATCAGGTAGTAATGCCCGTCCGTCGGGGTGGGGGAGGCGATGGTTAGGCATGCACAGCACGTCACCTAGCCATCTCAATCTATGTAACTTTATAGCCTCGTCGATTGATTTTCCCCTCTTTGCCCAACCTAACGTCAACATTACTTACCTTATTATACCACCTCCTAACGTGAGAAAGAGATCGTAGACATCTATGATCGAAAACAGTCAACCTTTTCATGTCTTCAACTCGTATTGGCCATGTTTCAGAGCCATAGAGAAGGACCGAGTGAGCTGCTGAACAGTACACACGTCGCTTGGTTGATAGTCGGATGTCATGCCTACGCCAGAGATGGTGTAAGTTAGCGAAAGCAGCTCGAGCCTTTTGAATCCGTGTTGAGACTTCGTCACCAATCAATCCGCTAGCTAACTCTTTTCCAACCTGATGCATCCTAAGTCAGTCAGCTAACATTCCCTGTTGGTCGAGGAAAGGTGATAGTTAGGAGTGCGTATCACATGTCCTAACCTAGACACAGAGTGGAAGACTGAAGTTTGTTCACCCTTGGTCCTTGTCATCGTACAGTGATGACGTCACATATCGTATAACAAATTGGTGCAAGTTAGAGAATTGATGAGAGATGGCTATTAGATTCCATCCCTAGTCTAGGTAAATGGTCAATGAGGTCATCTCATAACCCTGAGTGCCTGAGTTCTGTCCCTAATCCGATGAAGTGATGAATGCGTATTGTGTATTGAAAAGTCTGAAACTAGTGCGAAACATCTGTCCAGTACTCCCTTAGTATTTAGAGCATGGGATTCCCACTGTTAGAATTTCTTCGCAAACTATCATCAGTTAGAGTGATCACTGAAAATTGGTAGGCAGTGGAAAGCTATCTTTTTGTGATGTCGTCACGTTTGGGGATTCTTCATTAGCGTGCATACCATCCACGACCCCACCAAGAAGGGTCGAACCTGTTTCCTTCAGGTTGACTCATGTAGGACTGAATTCAATGACTTATGAAGAATTCTAACTTTGTCAATTCATGATATAGAGCTATCCTCTACAAAGTAAGTACCTTCCATGAACATTCACCTCACCTCAACACATAGTGGACTGCATATTGGTCACAACTTTCTTAGTACACAGCTTCAGGAACTCCATTCACATATTCTAATGATTTGAATTGAATTTTCTGTGGTTATCATTCACGGGTCAATGAATTTCGTCCCAATTGTCGGCTGAATGACCGACAAGCTTGGTCTCATAACCTGAGTGGAGCCTCTGGACTCGATCCCTGGTATGCTTGTGGCTGCACACACTGATAAAGAGTGTTGAAGTGGGACAAAGAAGTTGTCCGATACTTTCTGCTTTGTTGAAATTATTATCTTGAAAAAGGGTGTGCAATTATAAGATTAGTAGACAAATCGAATAAAATAAAGTAAAAACGTTACGTAATATTGTGTGAAATTTAATACCATAGAATTTAATGTTGTAAAAAGGAATTGATTTAGAATGACAAGTGGAACAAGTGAAATAATACCGGGGACAGTTAAAAGTGAGGGTAGTAATAGTCACAATTGACGTAATAAGGAAGAGTATACAAATTGAATAGACAAAAATGAAAAATTGGTGGAGCTAAATATGATTGGGGATTACCATACTTTAGCATAGAGGGATTAAGACCATGAAAGTTGGAGGGGTTGAACGAACTTTTTCTGTACATGCAGAGATCTGGCTTTTCTGTTTCGATAGCCAAAGATGGCTTCAGCAATACAACAGATGAGTCGGGTACGTAGGGATTTGGGTAAATTACTCTTTGCCTTGCAGATGACTTTAAAGGCGGAGGCTATAGAGATAGGGTGATCGGTATCGACCAGATGTTCATTGATCGTGCTTCCTATTGCTCCACTTCCACCTTTTCGTAACCATGCAGGATAGTGTTCTTGCACTCTCTTGGACAAAACTCGTGTCGAACGACCGATATACCTAGCTCCACACGAGCAGGTGAATTGATAAACGCACAGAGGAATCTTGTCCTTCAAGTTATTGAACAATAATGGTCGACTAGTAAAGGCTATTCTCAGAGATGCAGCAGGGAATGTTCTTTTCAGGGACTGTGATATCCTTCGTTTCATGATATCAGAAGCTAAGTCCCCTTTGAATTCCTAGCTCATGTAAAGTATTTTCTTGGGTACGATTGATAAGTCACGTTTTTTAGGATTTGAATGTATATTCTTATCTATAAAACGTGGTGGAAATCCGCTATCTATTAGGATTTTCCTCAAGATGTATAACTCATCTTCCACAGTATCAGGGCTACATATGCGTCGAATACGAGTGGCAAGCGACCGGATCAGGTTTCGTTTTCGATTATACTATTCAAATGTGCCGTTATCGTACAGCTGTTGAATAAGGTTGATGAATATTTGGGGTACGCCGTAGTAGTACTCGAGTAGTTTCCAAATTACTTCGCGATCAACGCTGTCGAAGGCCTTCTCAAAGTCTATGAAGGAAGTTGAGGTATAGGTTTGATTGCCATTCCATTCTTTGTTCTGGGATGATGATGCGTATATTTGCAATTTGGTCAGAACATGATTTGCCTTTCCTGAATCCAGGTTGTTCTTGTCGGAATTCTGTATCCACTGCGTCCTTGATCTTCTCCAGGATGATTATACTTTTATAAAGATTATACTATTCAAATAATAATATTAATATTATTACTGCAACTACTACTAATAATAATAAAGTGCGTTTGAATTTCCTCCTGTTCTGTTTTTTTCTTTTCAGGCTAGTAATCGATTTAATTTACCGAAAAATTTCATCTTTTATCGTGTCAGAGCCTCACCTTTGAATTTACCCTCACCACCACCGTCGGCGTCGGCGTCGGCGTCATCATCGGAATCACCGTCAACAATGACATCGAAGCAGAATAATAATAATGATATAAAGAGTAACACTACTGACTAATATAATAATAATAATATGGCAGCTATAGACACGACACATATGAACACCTGTGATTGCTTAATTTTGTTGTGTTCCCCTACCCCCCCCCCCATCCTCCCAAATTAGAGAAAAACATTTCCAAAAATCAGATTTATGAAATCACTACTTCGTGTGTGTATGTGCGTGTGTACATACTCAGAGATGTGTGAATATTTCTGTTCTTGTCAGTTCATCATCCATCAGTGATGTTGTTCACACACACACACACACACAATCACAACTATAATAATAATACTAACTAACTGCTCTGCTATCGTCATCACCATTAATTATCTTGGCGAGCGAGTTTGGGATCCTCAAGAAATATCTATATACACCTACCATATCATGCCTTTCAAAGCACATCACATCAAATCACAGATACACACACAAACACACCCGCCCACATACATTCATACATAAATACACAAACGTATGATTTAATAATAAAGTCAATCGGAACAAATGTACACAGTTCAAAGATGGAATAATAGAGAGAGAGAGGGAGAGCGAGACAGAGTGAGAGATTACACACACACACACACAAAGGACTAGATGCATCTTCATTTCTTCAGCAATAAAATGCTCTTCATAGACAATGGAACCCCCCCGTATCACATACTACAACATGCATGTTCATACAATGAAAATTATTCTGTCATAGTATATATATATATATATATATATATATATATATATCATTTTATTTATCTATTTTCTTATAATTGCAATTCTTATCCAACCTGTCTGTTTCCCTCCCTCTCTCTCTCTCTATCTCTGTATCTTGCGTAACCAGTGGATGGAACTGTTTATAAAAGTACAGTTAGAGACATAAATACATCAACACACATTGAATTAACTCATATATGTATCTTGGGATATAAATATAGTGAGCGAACAGGTGATTATTACACATTTATCTCTTATATACATACATGTATTTTGTAGTCTCAAGCGCCTGAGTCTTTCTCATTAGCTTTGAATATATGTGTTTATGTGTGTGAGTGTGAGTGTGCGTGTGCGTGCCTGCCTGTCTGCCTGTCTACCTGAATTCATCGAATTGTGTCTACTTTTTACATTTGCCTCTCTCCCTTTCAAACAATACTTTTATACCTGTTTGTGTGTGTGTGTGTAGGCACTCTGGCACACAACCATAGTCATCAACCTCGTTGTCATCATCATCATCTACTTTCTCGTCACATTATTATTATTATTTCTTTTATTTTGTTATTTCTATAGTTTTTTTCAACTCATTTTCTTGAAGAATAAACAGTTTACATAATACATGTTTGTTTACTTACTTGTGATAATATCATATATATTGTCTTGTGTTCTTGTGTAAATTTCCTTTTGATCATCGCACTAAATACTATCATATTCACTCAGAAAGTTCCTTCTCCCTCCTCCCGGGCACACAATTCCGCTTATTTTACATCATCTGATTGGGAAGGGACGATAGGATGGTGTGTAGGGTTCCTGGTGTCATTGTTATACAAACACACATATGCATGTATTTTATTATTATTATTATTACTATTATTCAGTTGATTTATGTTGTTCACCCTATTTTGTATAGAAATATGCAGCATGCACATGCCTTTCCCACCCCCCTCCTCGAACTTCTCTTTATTTCCGTCATCATCATCATCAGCAGCATCGCTGTCGTCGATATTATCGTTTCTGCTAAATGCCTATTACTATTTTCTCTAACTTAATCTCTGTAGAGTGTATTGTATACTGTAGTAGTCAATACGAATAATTTCCGTTTTTATTATTTATTTTGATGTAAATTTAGTTTGATTATTATTATTTTTTGAATTTCTGATTTCTTGTAATTTTTGTTTTTTTAGGAAAACAAAATGAGAGTTACTTACTTACTTACTTAATTTCCAACACCCACCCACCCGAATTATAGACACACGCACACACACACATTGATTGATTGATTGATGTCTGTCCCTCTATCTATCTATATGTGTCCGCCTCTCTCTATCGTCTCTCCCTGAGGAGAGAGAGAAAGAAATACTTAATTCTGTGTATCGAACTATCATCCTATTATGTCCGTGTTTCGATGTCTGTGCGTGGGTGTGTGCGTGCGTCTGTTGGCTGTCTGTCTATCTAACGATCTCTGTGTGTCCCCTCCAATCCCCACCCCACTATTATTCTTAATTTAAGCGTGCTATATCTATCTAAATGACTTTCTAACTGGCGCGTGTCTATTCTTTTATGCTATATCAAGATTTATATGTGTGTGAGTGTGTTTTCATGGTTTCTTTTTAATGATTATCTTTCACCATTATTTGTCATTCTATTGTATTACATGATGCACAGAACTTTGGTATATCTTTGTATTTTGTTTCTTTGTGTCATTTCATCAGTTACTAAAAGTGCTTTTTTCTCTTCTTCTTCTTCTGGTTTTACATCCTCCTAATTAACAGTTTCTTTTTTGCAACCGGTTTACTCAATACTTTGGTTTTATTTTTGGGGTTTTTTACTTTCACTTAATAATAAAATTTGATTTTTGTTTGTTTGTGTGTGTGTATGTAGGTATATATATATGCGCATGCACACACAAGTCTGTGTACTTTTACTTGGTATGTTGTAGGGTGATTTTTGTGTATCCCTTGAAAAGCAAAGCCACACTACCAATGATGATGTGAAATGATTCTCTGCCCCCCCCCTCTCTCTCCCTGTCTGTCGTTGTACTCAAATGAGTTCTACTGTATAATTATCGGAAAATAACCATAGAGTGAACCACCCACCACCCTACTCATCCTCGTCGTTGTCATCGTTTTTTCCGATGATTTTTGGTGGTTTGCTACCTTCTTTCATTTCGAGACTCTGTCTGCGTGCGTGCAAGCGTGCGTGTGTGTGTGTCTGTGTGTTAGTAACTAACTTCTCTTCTTTATCCCTTCGTCCCCTGCCTGCCTGCCCCCTTCCTCATTGTCTTCGTCTGAATATTGAGCTTCTTCTTCAGTCCTCCTCTTTTTTGGATCACATCTAAACATTCACACATAAACACACACACACACAAACATTCACAGACACAAGGTCTACACGCATGAATAGCATCACTGTTACTACTACTACTATTATTATTATTACTAATATTACTTACTGTTCATAAAACTGAGTGACAATTATGGTGAACACTATGAGATAAACCTGAGAAACTTCTGTTGTTGCTGGTTTTTTTCTATTGAATCAACAAGATATATTATAAGATACATAAGAAACGAAGAAAACAGCTATTAATTAATTAAAACGAAAAATAAACAAACCAAGTTTTAAGTTTTTTAAGAATCACTATTATTATTGTTATTTACTATTATTCGTTATTTGTTTTTAGAAGATAAAACTATGCGAAAAAAATAATCCTTTATCTCCTCTCTGTGTGTATACGAATTTTCATCAGAATATATATATTTACATATTATTATTTATTATTATTATTATTGTTTCCTTTAATTCCTAGAGGAACATAGGGCTTCAGCCGTGCGTCTCCATTGCGTTCGGTTCTCTGCTAGAGTCTTCACCTGACTCCAAGTCTGCCCACACGCACGCTTTCATCTCTAGTGATGTCAGTCACTTGATGGTTTGTTTCCTCACACAGTATGGCCAGCCAGCCAATCCACCACCTACCTCCATTTCTTCCTGCCTATTTGTTGTTTCACAATCGGTTGGTTCCTGCTGGGTTGGTTGGTTCGCTCATTGCCGCCAGAGATCCCTCTCTGTCAGTTGCTGATGTTTTCTGGCCGGCCGGCCGGCCATCTGATCTTGAGTAGTATTGAGCGAAGACAGCAGCTAGCTGTTAATGAAGGTGTGTAGTTTGTTTGAGATGCTGTTTATGACGCGCTCGCTGGGCAAGTCTCTGATCCATCCGTATAGTAAGTAGCACTGACTGACTTCACATTGGAGTTGAAAATCCGGATCTTATCTTCGTTTTGATGGTGAGTGCTGACTGTTGACCTGCACACAGCCTTGAGAGTAGTGAAAGCTTGTCTTGCTTTTCCGATCGATTCTTGCTCTGATATCCTCGTCAGTTCCGTTCGCCTGTAGTTGAAACGATGCTTCCCAGGTAGGCAGATAAAAGAGGTTGTTTCTTTCAGGTTGCTTCCATTTACACTGGCTGATTGTCGTCTGTTGTTGTTACATATACATATACATAACATATATAGATTGCTATTTCTATACATATTTTATTGATCGGTGAACTCTTTAACACTTTCATATTGTGTGTGTGTGTGTCAGGGAGTGATAAGAATTATACTAATTATTTCAATTTTGATTACGGATCGAGATCAGTTGGAGAACTATTGAAAGTTATCAGGGAATTGAATTGGAAGTTAACTCTTTCACCCCCAGGTTGAATGTCTTTGGTAGTACGGTACTCACTGCTAAGGTGAGTACGCAAGACCTTCGGGTCCCAAAGAAAGCTCGTAGATTGTTCGACACTGGCACCCCCACCCGCGATCTAATGGCCAGCCCATGAATTCAATGAGTATTTGTCCCCATGGCAGACACTGGGTGGACCTCAGCTCACTGGTCATTAGAACTCACTCCAAGTGACTTCGTCTTGTTTTTCAAGTTTGCCCACGGATTGAAAGTCACCAGGCGGGCGGGTTGGGGTTACTGGACAGTTAGCTGTTCTGTTCAAGTCTAGGAGTCACGAGCACTACGACCCCCCACACACACAAGGTTCGGGTCCAGAAGCTTCTGGTTACAGGTCAAGTTTGTAGACTATTCAGCTATCGGGATTCGACTCGATGACCTGTGAATTGGTTGGTGGGTCGTGCTATAAAATCATGAGTCGAAAATTCGTATACTCCATGAAATCCTCAGTATTTACATATTAGTAGCAATTTTACCGCTTCTGTATATCTATTAGAATCGAAAACAAGCCAGTCTGAAATTCCGAATGAATGTTGATGTCATTATTATTATTGTTCTCTTGGGTTCCTAGTGGAACATAGGGCTTCAAC